CGATGGAATGATATCTCCTAACTTGTCTACATTAGCAGGAACATCAATAACAGTTCAATTTGTGAAGGGGCGTCTCCATGGTCATTGGCGTTTTATAAGTCCGTCATGTAGATAATGATCGATGCAAAAGTAGTACGTAGACGTCTGTGTTATCCACTAGGACCCTAACATACATCTTCTCATTAGCATCAATTCAAATCGCTTGCTGTACTTCGATGTTGCCTGCTTCATCATAATTATGTTGTGGACAGACCTTTCCTTGCCACGACATCACTGCCTGGAATCACTTCAACAGGAACCTCATCTTGACGGTAAAGGCCTGCTTGTGCTTTTGCCTATTTCTGAGCACCCAATCATCCTGCAGACTCGCGCATATAATTACGATGTCGATCAACTGTAGTTTGTTGTCATGAAAAGATAGTGAAATTAGCAACACTAGAGACACGTTTCAACAACTTCTCTCCCTAGCTTTATTGATCTTTCCAAAGCTTTTGACTGCGTACAACATAAACGCCTATGGAAGATTATGAGCTGGATGGGCTTTCCAGCATATATAATTCAACTCATCCAGTCGCTCTACCAATACCTAGAAGCAACAGTAAGAACAGAGAATGGCTACACCGAAAGGTTCACTATTGGTCAAGTTGTCCGTCAAGGCTGCATCCTATCACCATCTATGCTGTATTCATTATGAGAAAGGCATTTTATGGTCAAGTTTCTGTTGGTGGACGAACGATCACCAACCTAAGATACGCCGACAATACAACACTCTCTGGCGTATTGATGGGGAAGGGTTGGGGGGGGGGGGGGGTTGGGGACAGTTAAACCCCCAAACAAAATTCAAACTGTTTTTTCTATATATTCGATACCAGTGATTTACAAATGTTGCTGAAATGACATGATTTTCCTGGGTTTTTTCTCACTTTTTTAGTAAATTATTATTTGTTAAGCGTATGTTGGAAAATGACAAATCCTAAATTCACAGTCAAGCAAAAAATATGCTTATTTAAAAGCCTACATGTCAGGGTCCGCAGAACAGCGGGGCTCAGGGGACTCGAGCCCCCTCACTTTTTGTATAAAGTATGTTGAAGAGAACTAGAAAGAAAGAAAGGGACCCGAGGTGAAATGAGGTATCAAAATATGTTCATCTTACAGTTAATAAATGCCTGAAACCCTTGAGCTTCCAGGGGCTGTGCCCCTTGAACACCACGCCAATTTGCGCTCCTCTCTTCCTGATCGTAAATACTTCACCCCCCCACCCCGATTTTAAAAAAGTTCTGCGGGGCCTGCATGTAACATGTATGAGTGGTGGTGATGCAGATTGTTTTTCTGCCCCTCTTAGTGTTTTTGCTCAGTATGCCACTGACAACACTTATAACAAGAACATCAGAAGAACTACTAGAACTCTTTAAAAAAGAGTGAAGGATGCAAGTGAATAATTTGGACCCTACCTCAATGGGTAAAAGACTTAGATCATGATTGGTGGAAATTAATTACATGCAACAGAGCATGGTGGTTGATGGAGAAGAAGTTGATCAAGTGGACAAGTTTATATAATGTTCTTGGGTCAATGATTGTCAAGCAGGGTGGAAGCTCGGCAATATCTGCCTTTAAATTGTGGTGTTGGAGGAAGCTACTTGGGATATCATGAAGAGATTACAACACCAATGGACACAATTAATGTCCATCATCGGAGATCAACCGCCACTTGCTACCAGGATTGACGGTACAAGCTACAATAGTTTGGTCACGTTAGCAGAAGATCAGGAGGCAACCTTGACAAATTATCATTCAAGGTACCTTTGAAGGAACACGTAACAAAGGAAGACTCAAGCTCAGATGGACTGACGACCTTCGGGAAATCACTAGCCACCCTCTAAATACTAAAGACACTCTACCGGATTGCAGGAGACAGATGCCGATCAAAAGGTCTCATCAAACGGGTCACAATGGTGAGCCATGATCTATATGACAACGACGACGACGACGAATAGTAAGAGATAGTTTCTTGGAGGGCAGCAGTGACGCGGGACTCAGTTGGAAGACTCTCGACCCGTTATGACCTCTAGATACTCTCGGATCTGTCAAATACCAAGCAAAAATCATCAGATTTTCATCCACAGCAGAGCACAACCATCAATGACTGTACAAGGTTGTTCCAGTGTCTCATGCCTGGCTGACATCTCAACTTTTGTCAAATTCTATAAGTCCGTCTTTGACATGGGAGTGCTCGTTTCCAGAATCATCAAAAAGTGCTGTTGGGACTGGTGAAAGCTCTTATGACAAAATGTCCTTGATATTGACCTCTCTTGAACTTGTCTGCAGTCCTATTACTCTGGAGTAGATCAACTTTTCATAGATTTTCGTATCGCAACATTGACTTCTTCATGGCAGCCATGGTTTGAACTTTCTTGGAAATTGTGTCATAGAATCCACCAGGTAATATCTTTTGAAATTCATGCATCTGTCTAGTATAGATGTCAACTGCTTTATCCACATTCACTGACGTTGGAGCAATGCTGGTCTAAATAAAGCCTATCAATTGAATAATAATGTGTGCCGTAAAACCACTTCTCACCGATTTGATGAAAAATGAATTCTTTCATAGCCATTTTTTTTCTTGACATATGTAGGGTAGGTGTAGGGAATTGGAGACCACCAAGCTTGAACCCATCACTGTCTGTCCGTGTTGGCTCCAATATTGATATGGCGACATATGTGGCCTTAAACAACACTTCTGCATATATCCAATTCATTTCGAAGACTACAATGCGTTCTCTCTCCGAGAAAATTGGCAAAATTGACCAAGATATTAGCAATTTTGATCGTAAAAATTTGCTCTGATATAAAAACACAATTTTCACTGAATGTTGTGGTGTATGCAGATATTTAGGGGTGGCTCTTAAAAATTAGTTTTAAAAGGAAGTTTATGAAATGTGCCAACCATCACAGAAAGCTTATGGCCATTGTATGTTGTGAATGGGTGTTGCAATTCACATTATGAATGGTGTCTGATCAGAAATGTGTGTAGGTAATTGGGGACACCAGGTCCAAGATGGGGGCCTACTTCTCCCCAGTTGTCCATTTCATGTTGAAAGGCACTATCATGAAACATATTTGGTCGTACGTGTCACCATTCTAATTTGAATGCATTCAATTTTAAGAAGTTGTTTCTATGCTGTGAGTTTGATCAATGTAAAAGTCATATTGCCAGAACATTATTCTGAAAGTATTTTAACATAATTGAGAACACCTTTATTACTGTAAACAAAAACTACAGAAATATTTTGGGCCACATTGTTTTAAAATCGTTTCAAAATTTCAGTAAGTTCATTGGCTCCATATATATCTCTTTCAAAAAATGTTTGAACTAACTATATAAATCCCATTTTCATTCTAATTGTATTTAAAATGTCTTGATTTGTAACTGTCCCTTATTACCTACACATGTAGGTAATGAGAGACCTTTGGTGATGACGTCATTAATCATTGTTATCTTATTAATCAGTTACATCATGACCACAATTTCGTTACAAAATAAAGAGAAAAAATACTAAAGGGAATACAAAAATGTCTGTATGTGTAACATTGTTCATGTTTATGTAAATTATGCAAATGTGCTTTAGGGTCTTCCATTCCCCACACCTACCCTATCTAAATTTGCACCAAACACGATGAAAGATTATGCAGCACAACTGCAATTGTTGCCCCAAAAAAGCATTTAATATGATTTCAACGTGACATAGATTTAAGAAATTGGCATTTGGCTGGTACATATATTTTATTTAAATTAATATGTTTATAGAGGGCGCTATTTCAAAATATGCAAATAAGCTGGTCATCTATGGCCATGCAACATCACAAAACATTTTGTTAGTGATGGTCCTAGAGAGATACAGACATTTGGCTGCCAAAAATTGTAGAAAAAATCCTTATTATATATTTATTATTCATTTTTAAAGGAAAATCATGTACTTTGGCGGCCATTTTGTATGACGTCATATATCTTAAATTGCTCAAGGCTGACAGAGTGTCAGCAATCGGATTCTTGAAATAGAAGGTCTAGGCAATCAAAATCCATTGAAAAAAAAACTATAGACCCTAAAACAAGGTTAGGCCAATAATCTGCATTTGGCTGCCGGACTATAGATCTAGATCTAGATCAAGTGTTGAGCTCTGCACTGCTTTGCATTCGAATCTCAGTCCCTGTCATTGAAATAATTAGTTGATTTTTTTTCTAGCAAAATTGGGAAATATTCTCCCATTTGGATACCAATTTCCTTTATCAATATTTGATGTAAAAGGCCCACTTTGGCTCAATTTTTTTAAGGTGATAAGCAGACTCATCATGAAAAAAACGGGCTCCTGACCTCAGAAAAGCCAAAAATTTGGCTGGGAGACGCAAACATTTGGCTGGGAAAAACTGTCTTGCTGTTTCTTTTGTCCTTTTGTAAACTAAATCTCAAATATGGGAGATTCCCAGCTTAAGTAGGAGAGTCCAAAATGATGCCATTCCAATTAGATCTACGCCTGTCCTACCGAGTCGGATAATGTACAACTGTATATGTCAGTGCGAGATGGATGGAAAAGGACAAATCACTTTGTATTGTAGGCCTACCAGAATAAAAGTCTAATCTGAAGTTCTTAACCTACCTAATTACACAAAACATTAGCTAAAATCATTACGAAAGCAAGACTTTTTAGGAAAGGTGAATACCAAGGGGTGTGAGAGGGGTGGGGCATGTTTTGGTTCGGATTCAATGAAGTAATCGCTTCCGTTCTCAACATCACAACACAGTTGTGTTTACAGCAATGTAAATAAACATGAAGCGAAATGTCCGGACTAATACAGGGAAATTGCTTAAAATAAACACCTTTTCTGGAAAATTAAACTAAACTTAACCAGAAATTTAGATTTAACAAATTATAATCTACGCATAGATATAAAACATTTTTTCCGAGAGACTTGTAAAGAGAGAAATATTAATGGTTAAACTTACCGGTTTTCGCTCGACTTTAGCAACAGAACGGAATATGGCGGAAGGATGACCCGAAGAGTGTCAGATATCACGTTATGATAATTACAGAGCATTCGCTATCAAGCACCTATTACAATAAGAAAGGAGTACAGTCTCTTGAGCTGCGAATCGAGTTTTTCTTACGACGCCCTCTTTGTTGACTGTTGTGTTAATTCTTAGAAACAGAAATCGATGAAAGTAGTTTCTTTGTCATGCCGTTTATAACTCTTGTTTTTCATCTTCTTTTGTTCGCATGCGAGTTTCGCATGTCTTCTTACAAAAAAAGGGGGAGGGTGGGAAGCAACCAAAGTCAGCTGAAAAAAAGAAGAACAAAATGATCGGAGTGCTGCCTTCCAGGATACATGTAAATCAACATCATTACTGTCATCTTCATCTGATCTGGATATAAGGCAATCATCATTTTGAAAAGACCCTGAAAATTGATAAACCAATCAACCAAACTTTGTCAAAAGTAAGTCATACATTTTTTATAGTCTAATTTTTACTTATTATCTCTTCATTTATGCTCATTTTTTATATTTTATTTAATTGCTCTAATTAGAGGTCGGGGACCTAGACTCTATTTACAAACGACATATTATGTCTATAAAAAAAAATGAGGTTATAATGAAATAAATTTAGCTTAAAAGGGTCCCAGGAACTAACGAAAGACTATGTATAATAAACGGAGGGGGGGGGTAGGCATCAGTGGCGTAATGGGCAAAAACGTTTTTTTGGGGGGCAGACGAAAAATCCGCACCACCCCACTCTTACATGAAGGCCCCGCTGAACATTTTTCAAAGCCGGGGGTCTAGGGGCAAAGCCCTGGCGGGGGTCAAGGAGCGGAGCCCCAAGGGGTATGGGCATCAGTGGTATCTCCAGGAATTTCTTACCCGGGGGGGGGGGCACAAAATGGCATATAGGGGGAAATATATGTGAAACGATGAAGCGACAGAGCGAGGCTTTAGCGGCGAGGGAGCGGAGCGACCAAGCGGGGGTGGATCTGGGAGGGGACACCCCCCCCCCCCTCCCCTCCAAGAGTAGGAAGCATTTGCAATTTTAGAACCACATTAGACGTATTTCAGGCACTTCCTGGAGTAATATGACGTAAAATTGCTTTTTCTTACCCCCTCCAACAGTAGGGATCTTTTGTAATTTGAGAACCACATTTAGCACTTCCTGGAAGAAGAAAAAACGAGGCCTTCTGATTGGATAGAAGTTAGAGAAAAGTGATCTGTCACGTTTATGCTTCGTTACTGCACAATGCACAAAGACGGTGATCCGGTTCACCAGTAGTACTTGCAAAAATTATTTTAAGTGTACAAAGTGTGTTTTGTCGCCAGGGGGGGGGGGGGGGTGTAGAGGCCACCGATTACCGACAAATCTAGCCACCAATTACCGACAAATATATTAATTTCAATGTCCCAATGTCTACAAATTTAACCCTATAATCCCGGGGCCAAGAACTAAGTTATTTTTCAGTTTACCCCCATTCCGCGCAAAGCGCGGAAGCTTTGACACTTCATTAAATTATTAGAAAAAGAAGACGATCCGTTGTACCGTTCTCGACTCTTAATTCTTGTTTCGACCCTCCCGCGCGAAGCGCATTATCTATGACGTTCATTTAATTATTATAGAGAAAGAAGACGAATCATTGTACCGTTCGTTTCTTAATCCTTGTCTGAATTCAGTTTCACCCCTCTCCCACGCGAAGTGCGGAAGTTTTGACGTTACAATAAATTATTAATCTTATCCTTGTCTCAATTCATTTTCGCCCATCCCGCGCGAAGTGCGGAAGCTTTGATGTTTCATTTAATTATTACTCTTACTCCTTGTCTGAAATCATTTTCGCCCATCCCGCGCATAGCGCAGAAGCTTTCACGTTTCATTAAATTATTAGAGAAAGAAGACGATTCGTTTTACCGTTCTCTACTCTTAACCCTAGTCTGAATTCAGTTCCCCCCCCCCCCTTCCGCGCGAAGCGCGGAAGCTTTGCCGTTTCATTCAATTATTAGAGAAAGAAGCCTCCCAAGCCCCCTCACCCCCCCCCCCCCCCCCCACCAGGACGCCAGTGGTAGGCATATAGGTAAGGTATACATAGTCCTACCCCGCCTGCCCTGCCTTGAGAAAGTCTTGAGATAAAGTAATTATGTCATATAAGTTCTTTGATGTGACAGAAAACTGTTGAAAGCACTGTACACCGGGGTGGATGTTTCATCGGAACATTTTGAAATTTGAAAACAGCTTCTTTTTTTTCACTCTTTCTCTCTCTCTCTATCTCTCTCTATCTCTCTCTCTATCTCTCTCTCTCTCCCTCTCTCTCTCTCTCTCTTCTCATCACTCCTCTTTCTCTCCATTTCTCTTTCTTCTTCTTTTTGCTCCCCTTCTTCTTTGCCGTCAATGCGGGGGAGGGGGCAGCCGTTTTGTCCCGTATGATTTTTTTTTTTATAAAGGAAAGTAGAGATTTTCCCTAATGTGATCATTTTCTATCTTCCAATAAGGTACGATTATTCCTATCTTTAACATGAATTGCGAACAGCCAAAGTCAACAAGTGCCTTTTTCAAAGAGAAGAGTGTAATTTCATCTATTGTCCATCTCGCTTCCATTTTTTTTCGGTTGTCTATATTTATTTAGTTATTTGGTATTATTTCAACAGGGTAGTTACTAGTTAGTAGTTAAAATACTATTGTACTTGGAGGCCCTGCATAACGTAAACAATAAAGAAGACGTACAATCATGTAAACATAATTATTATCTTTATTGGGCTAGCACTTTTCCACAGAAGAAAAGAAAAATAAATTTTATAAATTTATTACTGAATGAATTATGTTAATGATAATTGTGGCCACAACGGGCCAATTACAATTTCATGTAACTATTGTAGTTATAATAACTAAAGAACATTATTGAATTACTATAATGTCTGATGTTGGGGTTGGCCAAACTATGTGTACTAATTACATCGATGTGGGCATCTTTCCTTTTTAACATCCCCCTATCCCTCTCTCTCTCTCTCTCTCTCTCTCTCTCTCTCTCTCTCTCTCTCTCTCTTTGTGTCTCTATATTGTGTCACTCTCATCATAGTTGTGCTTCAATCTATCAAATACTCTTCAATCATTTTCATTTTTATAAAACTCAAAGCCAGAACGCAAAGAAAATATTGAAAGAAAGTTACTTTCATAGATTTTTTAATGAAACCGTTTTATAAAAATACGAAATCATATCACATTAAATCTCACAGCAGGTTTAGCTAATAAAAACACATTGGTTAGGCATACGCGATGATAATATTTACAAAAAAACGGGCAAGAATAACGAAAAGAATCGAAATACTATAATATATTACTTACACTCTAAAAACTGAAATGTTAAATGGCAATTTAAAAGGGCCGAGGAGTGACCACTCTTTCAAAATGTCAGATTGTTTCTTTTAACCTGCTAGATTTAACCTTTATAGTGTTGGATCCAGCATGTTCAAAGTGTTAATCTGCCATTCTGAAAGAGTGGTCACTCCTCGGCCCTTTTAAATGGTGATTTAACATTTCAATTTTTAGAGTGTACTTTACTAACAAGTAACGGTGAAGTCGATATAAATTTCGGACCATACACAATAATAAACAAAATTAATACTCAATAAACTATTTTATAATAGGCCCATTGATTAAAAAGAAATAAAGACAATATACCCTTTCTGCGAAAAGTGCAATGCAAAACCAAATGGGACTTTACGATGACACCGACTGTTACCAACACTTCAACAATAAATGACTAAAGCCCGGCGCACACTATACACGATCCAACTGCGATCCGATTCTTGAAGAAATTCAAATTCCAATCGCATTAGCTATGGAAATCTGATCAAAGAATTTTGATTTAGATTGTAAATAATGTTAAGAATACTATATTTAAAAAATGGATTCTATCTATCTAGACAGAATAAATGCCGAATCGGCTTCAGATCGTAGAAAATCGTATACTACTAATCTGACGTCACTACGATTTGAAGCCGATTTAGATCACCCCTCCCCCCCCCCCCTTCTTCAAGGTAGCTTGAAATCCCCTAAAATGTAGATTATTATTAATCACATGACTAATCCGTTCCTCGGTCATTAAGATGTATTAATGTTCAAATAAAATGCGGTTGTAAATTCTTTCAAAATCGGATCGCAGTCGGATCGTGTAGTTGTCGCTTGGGCCAACATTAATTTTGAGAATAGGTGTGAAGAAGTTGTAGCGGGCCAGTCCACGGCCATTTGTTTTCCGTACGACTCCCGGGACGATACCAAGCACTGTAGAATTCTGAACGTAAATTGACATCAGAAGTGTCTTTTCAACTTCATTACGGTCAGCTGTGGTATATATTAGGGCTATTAAATAACTTAATGCAATGATCTGGAGAGTGTTTCACAAAGACTAAGATCGACTTTAAGTTGGACTTACCTATGGCAGACCTTATGCAAGTGGTTGCTCTCACCAGGTCTCTCAACTATGAGCTTACGGTAATATATTTCCTTCAATAATGAACTATCAAAAAAGGTATATTCTGTAGATTTGGAAGCACGATTTGTACGTCCCTTGAGAGACCAATACCAGTAAATCGGAGCAATCAGTGGTGGCATGAACATGCAGCCTGCCATAGTTAAGTCCAACTTAAAGTCGATCTGTGTCTTTGTGAACACTCCCCAGATATACTAAAATCTTAGATGTGGTCTGTGACGTATGGGACAAAATGGCTTAGCCCAAGTACAACGAAGCACGGTAACGATCTTTTAAATTATAGAATTTGAAATTCATAGTTACTTTGTCTGATGGCATAACGATCGAAAAAGATATTGCTATATAGTTTGTATAAATTGTAAACGTAATGTGAGTTCTTAATGTAGTATGGAAATTAGTTAATTGTTTTTTTTTCATATACTTACTTTTGCGGCAAAAACATGAGCTTTCATAATACTTTTGGTACCGGTAAAGGAGATATACTCATTATGCTCATTACGCACCAGGAATTATTATATCATGAAAGCCAAACAAATTTTGAAGTTATCAACTTGCATTTGTGAAATAATATGCTCGACTCAAATGTGGAAGGCAACAATTTAATATTGTGTACATATGCGGTATTATATATAGTGGATTATAATATTTATCCCATATATGAGATCCATTTTGATTTTAAAAAATTGCTTAAAATTCAAATCATTAATAGCATTAGATATCATACATACAACATCGTTAGCGGCAAAAGCAAAATGTACCATAGGTTTATCCTACTTTCTGTATGTATTGGTGATATTTTTTGTTGTGGGGGGGGGGGGGGGGTAGTTCAAATTAGGGGTCACTTCATTTTATTCGTTTATTCAGTTCTGAATACAATAATAAATCAATATATATTAAAAGATATACGAATAAATACATTTATAAACTTATTTTAAACAGAACTGGCCAGGGCTCCAAGATGCCAACATGCCTTGTGAGCCCTGCTTAAATACAAAATGTACAAGCAAAACAAAATATAAAGACATAAATAGGGGTTCCACCTTACTTGTAACGGAAATATGCGCACATAATTACTGAATCCACTCTCGAAAGAGTAATTCAGTCACTACTTCGGTTTCCGGCATAATTTGGAGTGGATTTAACCCCAAAGGAAGTAATCCGTCCTGAATAGAAGATTCCCACTCCTCTGTATCAGGAGAGTACAAGTGGTGTCAGATATAAACAATAATAGAATAATACAGCTTTGAACATGTCTTTGGTCACTGAGCTATAGGAGACTCCTCCTATATGCACGTCATTCATCGGTGAAGATGTGCCGTTGCTATGGTAACGCATCACCGTCCTGTATCATCTTGATTTCTCTAGCCAGCTGACACTGAGCGCAGCAGGGACACAGTGTGGTCACCACGCAGTCATTCATTACAGAACCCTGGATATGATGAAAGAGATTCAAAGAATATGATTGACAGTATAACAGAATGGTGATTGTTGTTGACGACGACGGTGATAATTATGATGATAACAACAACAACAACAACAAAAACAAAAACAACAACAACTACTACCATTGAAGAAGAAGAAGAAAAAAAGAAGAAAAAAAAAAAGAAGAAGAAGAAAAAGGATAGAAAGAAAGATGATCATATTGAACAAATCAATAAAGGAACTGAGCTATGATAGTAAGAAGGAAAGATAAAATCCCCATTCGGGGGCGTCGATCAATTTCATAACCTTGGAAGGAAGCACACCCATTGATCAGAATCAAACATTGAATAGTATGTAAACCCGATGAATCAAGTAATTGAATGCACCCAACAATCGATACCCTTTTAATGACTTTTTAAGAAGAGCTGCTATTTGCTACACATCGAATACAAGAGTAAATGTTATATACCTCACTTAAGAAATCCAGCCATCTGATTGGTCGAATTGCATTCATAAACTTCAACTGTTCCTGTAAAATTCCCGGTAACCATGCATAAAACATTTAATATTTTTAATAACCATGGTTATTAAAAAAATAGGTCAGCCTCCATGGTTACCCCATAGGTTTACATGTTAAAAAATGGTTTGAGCGATCGAGGATACCGTATGTGTGCGAAGGATTGGTCGGTAATTTCAATACAATTGAATCTCGATCGATCTTACCGACAATTTTATCTTGCATTGTTGACATGAAGACGAAAATAAACTTCCAAAAACAAAAAAAACAACATCTGCCGATAGATCTTGATCTAAGTTCGTGCCAATATGCATTGCAAAAGTAAAAGAAGGGTGCTTTTGCGAAGCATTCATCACGCCGAAGCCGGTTTCAATCCATTTTAATGTATATATTGTACAAAACTGCCTTGCATGTGAATAGCGCGCGATGGCCGAGTGGTGTAAGGCGTTGTTGTAAGATTCAACACTCATTGTACGCAAGAGTTCGACTCTCACCTTCGACAAGAAAAAAAAGTATTTTTTATTTTTTATTTTTTAGTCTATTTTTTTTTCGGCATATAAAAGTATTAATGACTGCTTTAATATTCGAGAAATAGTTGTTTTCATACGCTCTCGGGAAGGTTACAATTGGGCTATTCCCCTCGGCAAGCCTCGGGGAATAGCACAATTCTAACCTTCCCTTGAGCGTAATAAAACAACTATTTCTCTCAAAGCAGTCATTAATACTATATTCTATGACATGCAGACATAGGCCTAGCGGTGTTTAACGACAATTGCTCCTGTGACAATCGCTCAGTGTAATTTCCTACACCAAACGAAATCCTAACTTTCACCCTGGACCCGACACTAACCCTAAACCTAACTTAAAACCCAAAGGTAACTCCAACCCAGACATTAAACTTCTGACGACATAAAGCCCAAAGCAATATTATTGTCGTGAGAGCAAAATGTCAGAACAAGAGAGTTATACTTTAGTACAGGAGGGACAGAAACAATCTGCTTTTTCCACAACAGACTGAGAAAGAAGCTACATTATACATTCGCCCAATTTCACGACCTCAAACATGAAATTTGACGCCATTCTAGCACTGCACTCACCTCGATGTTGTGTCGCCCCCTGAGTAGTGTCCTGAGGATCAGGTTTGAGAAAGGAACACATGCCCCTGCTAGCAGACTCTCCCCCATCGATGAGGCTATGAAACACATGTGACAGGGTACAAACGTCCCCATCAAACCTGATAATGAAACGAAATGTATCATGAACAATGTTTTAAGATAATTAACATGTAGGCCCCAAAAGTAACTAATACCAAGTATTATATAAGCATTGTAGTTTAAGAGCATGTAGGTATAACAAAAAGCACAAAGTTAAAATATAAGATTCCATATAATTTTCATAAGGATAAACATTGGTGCCGCTCTAAAGAGAGGTAAGGGTATAAGGTTATAAAGCTACATAAGCTAAATCCCCACCCAATATTTTTGGTTGGCAAATCGATCTTTTTCGTCCGTAAAATTGCAAGCTTTATATTTATACTTTTTAGAAAAGTGTCGAGATCTGAGGAATCTGCCCTTGATGTTGGCATACTTTCCCCGAAAATCAGCCATGAATGTCCTTAAAACGCTTTTGTATGTGATCTCTTTCCTGGTGAATTCGCTTCAAATGTCCTAATTCTAGGCCAGCGGGAACGAGTTGGAAAGAATTTAGCTTCCCCTAGAAAGCATCTCTCAAAAGGAAGGGGTCCGTCAGATCAGACGTCTCTTCAATTTATAACAAAAATATAGAACAAGAGACGCAAAGAAAGGCAAAAGGATGATTCTTGAAAACACATTTTTAGTATTACTTACATGTGTTCGTATCTTTAGTGCAACTGAAGAGCCCAGTAGACCACAGTCTTCGCTTGCCATTAGGATATGTCCACGGGTAGAGAGGGGTCTAGAAGATATAACAAAAGATAATAATTATTTGAAGGACATGTATGATATTAGAGATATTATCTAGATGGTCTCGTCTACATCAATTCTAACATTAATTATTACTAATTGCGGTGATAAGGATAACACGCCATGCTAATCCAAATATCAGAGTATTAGAATATCAATATCTTTAAATGCCAGCTTGTGTTTATCAGTCATAACATTTATCATAGAAAAATCTAAGATCTAATCATATCAGTTACCCCATCGTTCTATTTTTTGTTGTTGTTGCTGTAGATTATTTTGTTTGCGCAATACAATAATAATAAATAAAAACGGTGCTTATATCAAGCGATTTCCACCGAAGTCTCTAAGCGGCATATTAATAGTGTTGTCTTTCATGCTATATACACCTTTTGCATTTTTTGATTAAGTTCATACTTTGGAATATAATACTGTGAATAGATGCTTTGAATACACAAAATGTAATTTGTGTTTACCTCATTGGTTTGCCGATCTATAGATGTTTGTGACATATCAACCTGCTCTTGGCTTCTTCTGGGTTGAGCAGTGATCGGATGCCACTCGAAGGACATGGCTACTGACGACATCAACTAAAAACAAAACAAAAGGTATGAACTTGGGGGATTGTAAGAAGAAGAAAAAAACACTACAAAGAAAGGGCTCAAATTTGCACCATATAATGTTAGTGCTCCGACTTATGCTAGGGCGACAGTTTCTCTGGATTTCATTTCGGCAAAGAAAAGAACACGAGAGACAGATACGAGAAACCAATTATAGCACAAAGGAAGGATGAATGAGTTGACTGACTTCTCCATGTTTATCCAAAAATAATGAGACTGGCTAAATCATGTTTAAAGCCAAACAACGAATAAGGAAGATTATGGAGCAAGAAGCGAGAGAAAGAGAAAGAGGGAGAGAGGGGGAGAGAGAGAGAGAGAGAGAGAGAGAGAGAGAGAGAGAAAGAGAAGAGATATTTAGGGAGAAAAAAGAAGAGGTCATGAGGGAGTGGGAGGGTGGGAAGGCAGGGGCGGATCTAGCTTTTTGCTAAGGGGGGGGTTGACCAAAATAATGACGATGCGGAGCATCGTCCACGAGCCGCGAAGCGGCGAGCCGATTTTTTGGGGGGTGTTTATTTGAACCCCGTAAGTGATGTTTTCCTGGCATCTATTAACACAATGGAGACCATAAAAAGCAGTGCATGATAACGTCTTTTTAAATCAAGTAACAGTTTAATACATAGTTATATCCAGAGTTATCATGTGTTTGGTTAAGTTACCAGATGAGTTGAATATCTTCTCACAATATTTGCACTTGAAAGGGTTTCTCTCAAGCGTGCGTTCTTTTTTCTTTCTTTTTTTCTTTTTTTCTTCTTTTTTTTTTTTTTTTTTTTTTTTTTTTTTTTTGGGCCGCCCAAGGGGGGGGGGGGTTGCAACCCCCCCAACCCCCCCCTGGATCCGCCACTGGAAGGGGAGAAGGTAGAGGGGTGAGGGAGGGGAGATATGAGAATGGAAAGATGCGCGTAGTATATATGCTTTGAAGAATAACAATATATTACAACACATGAAACGTTGTTTACCGCTGAATTATAGGAACTGTATAGTTCTACGGGTGTATATACACACGTTATCTCTTAAAGATGGCTAAAAGCAAATACAAAACTCGAATAAAGTACACTTACCGGTTCCGAAGTTAATAGCCAAACAGACTCGTTGCTTGATACAAAGTGTTCACTGTATTCTATCCAATGTATACAAGTTCCAGATTGTTATTGCGTTGACGAAAAGATGGACAACATGAGCAATGGATAATAATGAACAACCTGAAAATATTTTCAACACTTAAAGCAAGTTTCAGAATCGTTCTCTAGCTGTCAATTTATCATTTTATCCCGTCAAGAATATTGATACTTCTATCTGTTTTCGAGGTACTTCAATCACAACATCCACTTCACTGTCTGAGCACTTCTAAGCTGTTTGTGTGGTGTTTTACAGACGAACAGACCTGCATGCGAAGGTGTATCTTTTTACTTCTCTGTTTGTGTAAATCTATCTATTCTTCTGCAGGAAACACAATAGAAGAAAGTGAATAGCGCACAGCCAGGGACGTCAAACATATTCACTGGTCTTTCTTCTCCGTCACTGGAGCGAAGAGGGTTGTTTCTTTTGAAAAGGGATTTATATATTTTCTGCGTCAGAATAGATACATACTTGTAATGGTGGGGAAGTGGGCGTTACGAGGTGAGGGGTATTATTTCTTTTGTAACTCCTTTGTCGACGACCAGCAATATATTATTTTGTTTGCTGCCAGAGCATTTTATACATTCCACCAGTTTCAATTTGCTAGGGCTAAAGGCTTTTTGTCATATAAAGTTGATATAATGCCCACTTCGAGAGCTGTGTCAATTATCCCCCCCCCCCCAATTAAACAAAAGTTTTAAAAAGACAATCGTCTGGTTAGAAAAAACATCAAATATATAATTGAAATAATTTGCTAACTTATATCAGCATAATTATAATGATAAATATTTTTAAGTGTGTATGCCAAATGAATATTTAGATAAATCTGAAAATGTCGATAGTGTATTCAGATCGTCTAGTCTGGTAGCTACCCCGCCCCCCCCCGCCATTCTCTAATTGTATTTTATTGTTCCAAAGGATCATTTTAACACTACCCTATACTATTCAACCTCCTCCTCCTCTCTCAAATATGTCGTCTTCATCTTCCTTTTTTTCTTCAAAGAATTTATATCATTTAAGTCCTCGGTATGTACTAGAGTTAGGTGAATTCCATATCCATATAATCTCTCTCTCTCTTTCCTCCCTTATTTCATCTCTCCCCTCTCTCTCTATCTTCTTGATTCTCCTCTTTCTTCTTTCATCTCATCGCATCCTGTGTCTCCTTAACTGATCCTTATAATTCGCACTTCTTCTCTCAATCTCTTTCTTTTAATATATTATCCACATCCCATTTCCGCAGAATGGACTGTTCTTGAGACTAATATTTGAAGGCAATTACTGCATTTTGCAAAAAACCTGATTTAAACAACAGTTGGGGTTTTCTTTTCACTGCCATACTAGTTCTTTGTCTCTCTCTAGCTCTCCCTCTGTCCCTTTAAGTCATCACAATTAGTCTTGAGTATTGGTAATGACAAATTTCAGATTGGGGCCATTCCATGGTAACTCGCGTTACACTTAATGGGTACATTGACACGATAATGTGCCTATATCTTTAGAACTGCTAGGATCTACAAGATACTTTTTTCAAACATGGACAGGGTAGATATAGAACAACTGAATGAAACAAAAAAGAACATTGAAGAACAAACATTTTTAGATTCTTGGATTATTGAATTTCGGTAACTCGCGTTACAAAAAAAGGACGTGGTCAATTCTACGAGACCCTCTTTCTCCTCATACTAGACAATCTTGACAAAATCTTTCCTACTTTAATTTGATAGTAGGTTGTGACTTACTACTATAAGATCACAATATTAAAGATAAGAAACAATGGACTAGTAAAATGCAGGAAGCAAATATGTCGGTAACTCACGTTACGGTAACTCGCGTTACATTTTGTCCGGAGGCCATTTTCACCCCTATGTAATAGATTAAATATCACAGGACCCCTTAGAATATGGAAATATATTCATCTTTTTCCATTTAGCGAAATTTTCAGGAAAAAATATTACAAGAATCCTGTGTAATCTGCAATAAATTGTTTTTTTTCAGCTACAGTCCCACATGTACGTTTTTGATGATAGTTTGAGATCTTAGGAAATCAACAAAAATGAAAAAAAAATTGTATTGAATTTGAAAGGCCCTAATGTTTTATGAACATCCATGGCATAAGGTTAGTGATAAATCAAAGAATTAACATAAGAGGTACATTTCTTTTTTTGATGTCATGTCCTTCTTCTCATGGAATGGCCCATTGAATATTACAGACTACAAATGAACAGATGCCATAAATGCCATTGCTGGACAACAAGAAGATTTGACCATCTTAAGATATGTAGTCCTTTACACACCTAGCTGTGTTGGTGCTTTTAAATATAATGTGTAGACAATTTTCTGATTGTATTATTAGTTTTCATTTTGCTGACAAACAATACTACTGCGTGATTGCCAGTTTAGAATAATTCATTACCTAACTCTAGACTACCTCATCAACAGTATACATGTATCTCATTTCAAAAGCAAACACATACCTCCACACTCAGTAAAACATAAACACATAACCATGTTATTTGGTATTCATGATGGTATTGTCATGGTTTTTTTTTTCTTTTCATGTTCATATTGTTTATCTACAGCACTCAGAAAACGAAACCAAGAACTGCTTCACAATAACAGATGTCTGCTATGCAGGAACTCTCAAAATTTAACGAGCATTCCCAAGTTCTCGCATGTTAAAAGGTGAATAGAGGTCTAGCGCAAACAAGTCTCCAGAACCTCTGGTAGAAAGTAATTGCAAAGCCCTGGATATAGCATTATTATCCATGGTTCTTCATGATCACTTTCACTACCGTAGACTAATAACAAGATAACGGTATAATTGTGCAAAGAAATTGTAAAATATGTTGGTAAATATCTTTGCTTACTGTATGGTTTGGGGATGACATGGGAATGATACATTCAACTGCTAAAATCAGGGACCCGTTTCACAATGCCTTTTTCAGTAACAAATGACAACAGTCAGTGACAAATTTGCTGATAACCAATCAGAAGCAAGGATTTCATGAGCTTATAACAAAAACTGTCATTTGTTACTGATGAAAGGTTTTGTGAAATGGGTTCCTGTTCCTTCCACAAGGAATCACATAAGAATGTTGAATAATGTATATGTGATTCTAGGGTGTTGCCCCCCCCCCCCCCCTCATTTGGCCTCAATGACCTGAATGGTTAGGTCTTTTGGAATTTGGAAGAATGGTTCAAAATTCAGTGAAAAATATGGTTGTGGGCATTAGATTACACAGTTGTACTGACAATTTACACCCTTAGAATTATAATTCATGAAATTGTAAAAAGCTCTGCACTTATTCATTAATTCAGGACCAACTTTACAATGATACAAGCCAGGAGGATTAAGAATCCTTTTACCCTGTTCCCCCTGGGGATGGTTGATAGCATCATAGGCTGGAGTTGCGACCCAAAAGGGGCTCCTAATTTGCATCCATTTAAAAAATATCAGTGTAGAAACTTGTAACAGAGAAACTCTCAGTTCATGTGTACAAAATAGATAGAGTTTCATCAGTTTCAATGATCCTTTGTCAATCCACTTCTGGAAAGTAGTTGATTGGCCGTCTGAAATCCACGATCGATCTGGGTTCGCCAAGGACCAAACCTCCTTCTTCAAGTGCACCGAGGAACACTGCCATCTGGAAAAAAGATAAAAGGACAGACAGCTAGGTAATGATTTGTTTCTTATAATAGCCAAAAGCAGGTACAGTGAAACCTGTCTATAGCGACCGCCCAAGGGAAACTCAAAAAGTGGCTGTTGTAGATAGGTTCCTTTACTACATGATTCAATGAGAAACCATTTTCAAGGGAAACAACAAATGTGACCTTTGTAGACAGGTGGTCTTTGTAGATAGGTGGTCACTAACGCAGGTTTGACTGTACTAAATGGAAAGAGCTACAACTATAGATCTCATAAAATCAAAACAGACAAGAGTCATTGAGCCCTTGACAGCTCCAACAGAGCTTTGAAAAGGAATCGTCATCATAGCAATTAAACAACTTTATTAGAAAAAAACAAATGAACAAGAAAATATTAGAAGAACTAAAAAACGATGTATAAAAACAATTTCTGGAATGGAAATTATTGATATTTTCAGTAATAATATACCATAATGTTGGATAAAGGGCAAAGTTTCCCTCGTTGTACAGACAAAGAAATTTGATTGATGAATAAACAATTAAAAAAGCAAACAAAGTACAGAACAAGTTAAGAAATAAATAAATAGATAAATAAATATGAATAATTAATGCACTGTTAATACATAATTATGTCACAAAAGCAGTGATGAGAAAGACATACCCCTTCCTGTTCCTTATCCGTCTTCTTCATGCTGTTATGTACAAAGTTAATACCGGACTCCAGACACCTGTCAGCAAGCACTCTACCAAGGTTCTCAGAGGCTGATACATCTGAGGTAGAGTAGAGGTGTTTCTTGATGGCCCATTCCTTGGTGGATGCCTGCACCACTATGTCGCCTTTGATGTGCTCAATGCGTGCTGAGATGTGTCGGTTGGTCTTGGTAACAAATAACCTGAGGGAGGGGGATAGAAATGGATTAGTTCTGAAGACATCAACATCATTTTTCTTCCTCTTTTCCACTTTGAATTAGTCAATAGGCATGCATATTGAAATTATCTAGAAGGCCACACCCAGATTACAAAATTATTTCTACATCCAAATATGGGCCCCATATTTTTTATGCTCGGTGTTAGTATTTAAAATCTCCCATTCTTCAAATGCAGCTCGTTAAGTTTCCACCGTTTTTATCTTGATCTTATGGTGACAATCATATACCTAAGGTGCACACACTAAATCATTAATATAATTCTCCTGGCTAGGGATTATTCCAAATAGAGTAAAGGTTATCAAGGGTTATCGAAAAGAAAAGAGAAAAAAAAATCAGAGCTCAACACTAACTTCTTTTGAAAGAGATCTGATTTAGATTTCTAGAGTCTTTATGAATGAGCTCAATGAAAAAAAAGTTTCAAATTTGAGAGAATGGACTGACATTTTGGGTGTGAATGTATCCCAGATGACTGTTAGTGTCAAGATCAATACACAATAACCCATTTACTATTTGGACTATGAATGTGAGAACACAAAGTAATTTTCAAAGATACTGCTGCAATTTATTTTATTGTCACCAACAAGACCAATACAGTTAAATTCCAATCACATAAAGCCCAAATATTTCCAAATTACAATATCAATTCTTACCAAGTTATTACTGATTCATGTTTTCATGAGGGGGCTATGAGGTTTCTTTTTAATTTTCTTATCTGATTTAATATTTTTTCAAAACAATATTTCAAATAAATTTCAATTTGTTTGAACATAATACAAGGGCTCAAAACAATTAGAGAATGCAGAGAGAGCATTAATGATTTATGTTAAAGGTACTATGTCCCATTTGCAGACCAAAAAAATGAAAAAGTTAAATTCCAACTGCATTTGAAAGATAATACTAATTTAGAACTTCCCTAAAAAAGGTGGGGCTTGAAAATGTCTTCAAGTGGGGAAATAACGACTATTTGTTGTCAAATCGACTTTAGGGCTATAGAGCTCAAAAGTAATAGTCTTGATTTTCAGACAATTGTACCAATGGTCATACGTTTTATGCTGCGCAAAGATTCAATCAGTTTAATCTTGGCCATCACAAGAAGTGGGTTATTGATGTAGACAAATGCTCATGTACCCTTTACAACTCTTTTCATGTATGTTATTACCAAAGAAGAAAAAAAGCCAGTAAGTCTCTCAATAGTGTCTGACAGTGAAGTCTAGCAAGTAAACGGGTTTCCTTGCATAATTTGAATATGAGGAGACTGCTAACGTTTAAATTTCACAGATAGGACATACATGACATATTCATAATTCCTGCAAAGTTCTACAGCATTTGAGGTTGGCTGCAAAAGGGACATAGTACCTTTAATATCTAGATTTCCTAAAGTTGTTTTTCACTCATAAAATCTGGTGGGCTGACAAAAATGGAGAGCAGTTATGGACGAGAAACTAGGAATAAGTTTTTCATGGACATAAATTAATTTTCATACTTATGCCAGTAGTCTTTCCTGGGGTAACTCTGAGACCATCCCTTGTCTTTCCTGGCCACTGTCATCAACTCAAGATTCCTTGGGTTACGGTTGATGAAGTGTGGATTTACTCTATCATTCTCTGACAACTGTTCTGAAACATTCTCCTCCTCACTTTGCTCAGCATGGGTTTGCTGTAGTGGTGGTGTTGTTGAATTTAAATTGGCCTGGCTTGCATGCAAACATCTGCATGATGTTGCTGGCATCGTCATTCCCAAAACTGATGAAAAATGAAAGGGTAAAAATGCAATTATCATTGGGGACTTTTTTGTGGTAAAGTCAAATAAAAATAGAACATTAAAAGTTTCAATTAAATTACAAAGGGATGAATCATTGATTCATAACGTACAAGATTATCTGAGAGTAAGATACATTCCGTCAAGAGGCCATTCATTGAAGTTATTCACTTTTCGCTGTCGATTGAATGTCAGGAGTAACTTTTTAAGCAAACGGGTCATCCAGTCTTGAAACAGTTTACCAGTGTCTCTAGCAACTGCTACCAGCATCAACTCATTAAACACAGCTTGGATTCTTTTTGGTCATACAAACACTTAACTCCGGGAAGCTCCAACACCGGTGCCGCAGGCGTCGGAGCTTCGGGTGGTTTTGTTGGTTTCTCGTGGGGGCTAGTAAAACAGCCGATAGGGTGATATTATCGTTAAATCTGCAAAGGGAGTACTTACAATTTTTACATCATAGGGTGCACGACTCCTCAGGGCTCAACTCCAGTCACTTGAATGTATGGGAAAAAAAGGTTCTTTCGGGGTACTACACCAACGATTCTTCCATGTCGCAGCGTTGATTCAAAATAGCCATGAGAAGGTACGCATGCGCGGCAGTGGCGAAGAAAATATGAATATTCATGCTATCGAGCGCCGATCGCTCGAAATCGCTGAATATGCACGACTCGAACAAACAGAGCCCTTCTCAACCTCGTGCATATTCAGCGATTTCGAGCGATCGGCGCTCGATAGCATGAATATTCATATTTTCTTCGCCACTGCCGCGCATGCGTACCTTCTCATCGCTATTTTGAATCAACGCTGCGACATGGAAGAATCGTTGGTGTAGTACCCCAAATTAACCTTTTTTTCCCATCGAAGACTTCTTCAAATTATACATTCAAGTGATTGGAGTTGAGCCCTGAGGAGTCGTGCACCCTATGATGTAAAAATTGAAAGTACTCCCTTTGCAGATTTAACGATAATATCACCCTATCGGCTGTTTTACTAGCCCCCACGAGAAACCAACAAAACCACCCGAAGCTCCGACGCCTGCGGCGCTGGTGTTGGAGCTTCCCGGAGTTAACAAACACTTTGTTATAGCATAGATCTAGTCCGACATCTACACATGCACTGATTTATAGACCTTAATGTACCAAGTGATCTGACCGGGAGACCTACAGGATATCCTACACTCCCGTATAGATGATGATGAAGATGATGATAGTTGGAGATTAACATGTCATTGTCAGATTCTAAAGAGCAAAGCTTAATTTTTGAAAGCAAAAAAACAACTAAAGGCTAAACCTAAAATCAAAAGTAAATGAAAAACTCGGCAAATCAAATCATATAATTTGAATATTGATGCATTAAGGCTAAATAAAGCAAAGCAAATCTGAGATGAGACTGATCTGTCCTGTGTTTGTGAAATCAACTGTATGCGACTAGCCCTCCGCGACGTACCAGACTTTCCAGGCCGCCGAGATGGGCGTTCTCGAAGTTGAAAATTCGCTCACAACTCAAGTGACGAGGATTGCAAACTTACTTTTTCTGAAGGAAAGAAATTCACGCCTGGCCATTTTTGCTTGCAGTCCATTCTCAAGTCCCGTCCACAAAAGTGTTTGTAATGTCTTTATCGAACCCATCTTTATCTTTGTGGTCAAACTTACACGAAAAATGTATTTTTATTAGCACGTTTCCACACACTTTTCGTCAAGGTTTGACCTAGGTCTAGACCGAATTTTCCGTCTCTTTCGTTCGTTAGCCTCTTATTGGGGTAGGGTCGGCTCTCTCTTTAGAGACGGAAGCCGTTTATACACATGTCCTTGCTAACGCCACGGCCAGTTCTGGTCGTAGCGTTTTGCCCCCAAAATCCCCCAAAATGTCATTTTACCTCGAGCATGTTATATTGTAAATTAGGCCTAGGCTATAATAAATCAGTTCCACTTACCAACTTGACTGAAATAATCAGTTTAATAGTCCCTTTTTAGGAAATTATGGGTCAAAATCGGAATCCATGTTGAAAAAGATTTTCAAAATGGATTTCGATTTTGACCCATAATTTCCTAAAAAGGGACTATTAAACTGATTATTTCAGTCAAGTTGGTAAGTGGAACTGATTTATTATAGCCTAGGCCTAATTTACAATATAACATGCTCGAGGTAAAATGACATTTTGGGGGATTTTGGGGGCAAAACGCTACGACCAGAACTGGCCGTGGCGTTAGCAAGGACATGTGTATAAACGGCTTCCGTCTCTAAAGAGAGAGCCGACCCTACCCCAATAAGAGGCTAACGAACGAAAGAGACGGAAAATTCGGTCTAGGTTTGACCTCGATTGAATCGGATCACGCTGCTCCATTATAGCTAAGCATTATATTTTAGTGTTATGCCTTAAAAAACGCATTGAATTATCTTAAAAGATATAATATATTTTTATTTAAAAATAACAAATTTTTTCATTTAAATAATCACATTATTTCAAAACTTGAATTATTTATTAGAGCAGATCAGTGCCCTGATTGATTACGTATCAAAATGGCTACCTTAGAAGAAGATGAGGTTGAGATATTTGAGGATGATCACCTAAATTCTCTGTTGAATTTCCCTACAGATGTACAGCAAGCAATCGAACAGGTAAAGCTATTATTAAGGATTATGTAGGATGAGAAAAGAATGTTATGATGGGAGATTATGCAGTTGAAATAAGACGTTTTACGTGTGCCTTGACTGTGTGTGCATTGAATTGACATTGTCCCGTGCATTCATTTTCGTGTTGTGTTGTTTTTAAATTTGTAGGCAGACAGAAAATTGTCACGCCCACTCGCTCAGCTACAGTAACATTGCCGTCTCATTATAGATATTGAGCTATTTGGGACTGACTATAACATATATCATCAAGTTTAAAGTTAATGTCATTAACAATGTTGCTTTCCTAGCTTCCAATTAATTAGAGTTAGACTGCGCCTAGCCCTAGGCTCGATATATTCTTTTTCTGAATTGAAAAAAAGGAAATTGTTTTACTTTGAAGATTGAAAAGAATTCGTTTGAATACTTAGAATGAAATATAAATGTTTTGTAATATATTAAATCATAGAAAAGACGCATCCCCCCTCTAATTCGTTTTTGAAGTAGCGCTTACAGAAGATGAATACAGTATCGTACAAAAGTGTATGGACGTGTGACCAAAGTTCGCACGTGACCTAAGTTCGCTATCTCGAAAAATCAGTAAGATTTCGAAAATCTGATATCACCAATGGAAAGAGGAACATAGAATTACCCAGAATTGAAATTTTCTTCGGAATTGGGTACGAAATTGTGAAAATATTGACAAAAGATCAGCAAATTTTGCAATCTTTTGCGTCCGTTCCGAAAAATTATCAACTTACTGATAAGGGTCTGAAAATCTTCAGTTTGAGAGCAGATTTCCTCAAAATTGTAAGTAAAAAGTGGTACCAACTGATTGTATGATATCTTGTCTTGCAAATTATGGTATTACCTTATTTTTGATGGATCGCTTTTTTTGATAAATCAACTGTAAACCCCGGTGCGTGAACTTAGGTCTTGTTGTTTTTATGACTTTTTTTGATGCAGCGCGCACACACGATCGGACATCGAATTTTTAGATCGCGATATCTCCGACATCCTTTGACGATGAATTTTCTATTTGAACAATTTTGTAGTAAAAAACTTTGCCGTCCATTTGGTAGTAATTGAAATAAATAAATTTGTGTAGAAATCATAGATCGAATATCACATTTTGTAATATGTTCTGAAATGTCCGCGAACTTTGGTCACCCCTTCATACTACAAATACAAAATTGCTCTCACCCGCCACTGTAAAGTGAAAATATTTGTTGGGTCAAAGACTAATTAAAGTTCTTAAACCTCAGTTGAACGCTGCTCTCTCCTACTAAGAAAGTGATCATGCTCCAGTCTCTAGTCTGCAACAAACCTACATCATAGTCACACATGTAATTAAATTGCATTTACTTGTTGTATATGCACCGGTAGTACATAGAGGGCAGCTCAAATTCTGTCAGATTTTTTTTTTGCCTTGACTGTAGTATTGCTGATAGAGATTTTTCATTTACGCTTTGTGCCTCCTCTGTCTACGCAAGTCTTGGATTCATCATATGTTCCTCCTTCAATTCCATTCAATGGTTCTTATTACTGCAGGTTCTCCCATCCTCAGACCCATTGGACAGACCTGATTTCAATGCTGTGGATTACATCAATTATCTGTTTCCAACAGAACAAGTAAGAATGCTTAATTGTCTATCTTGATCTAGGCAAGACAATCATTTATATTTGTGAAGTAGTGAAGTACGAAAAAGAGTATGGAAGTAGCATAAAGAGAAAAATCATTGAATGTTAGAGCATAATAACAGCACTCATGGTACCATCTATATAGGACTGTGTCAATTTTGACTTAGGTCAAACTCAAAGTTGAGATAACTACACCAGAATGATTAGCAATATTTTTGGGAAAACTACAATTTAGGATGAAGAGATGTCTCACTTCAATATGAAAGATTAATTGGGTGATCAAATTATGGTGTAGATGTCATGCAGACTGACTATGATTTATCTGAAATTGAAAAAGTAAAGATGAAAAGAAGTGGTTAAAATGTTATATCAGAGACTTTAAGAGGGAACAATCCAATTATTAAAAAAAAGGTTTGCTCATTATATTTTGATTTTCTAGTTGGTATCCTACAATGTTAGATACTAAAATCCGTGTCTGAATTATTGTTGAAAGATGCACACATTATTTTGTCTCTAATTTGATGATTGGTTAATTTTAAAATACAATGATAGGACAGCACAATATATCGTTTCATGTGTTTTATTACAGTCGCTTGCCAACATAGATGAAGTAGTGAATCGTATGAGGCTTAAGATACGTCGTCTGGATGATGAAATCAGATCAGTGGTTAGAGGACAGACAACAGCAGGCCAGGATGGAAGAGAAGTAAGTCTCAAAAATATTACATTTTGTAAGATTTGATGGTGGATTATCCATGATCTTATACAGGTGTGCTTTAATGGAGTATATATATATATGTGGTGCATGCTATTACTTTGGGACTGTATAGTAAAATAGAAAGGTGAAGAGATGTTGGTGTTCATGGTTGATCCTCATCAACCATGTTGAGAGGTTACTCACCTATTGCATGACATCTGAACTGCATGAATGTAAAAGTTATTAAAGAGGGCCAAATTGAGAAAAACTTTGGAGTAAAAAGTGTTTTATTTTCTTGGGTTTATTTTTTGTACTTTCTGTTTTTGTACATTGCCATATTTTATAATGGTTAATAGAAATCTTTTTTAATTTGGTTTGAACATCAATAGTTCCTTAATTATTATGTGAAGTAAAGTAACTGTGCTTAACTCTGCAGTGGAATGTTTCTTTATGCTGTGTATGTTTCTTTTAATAAATCCCTCCAGGCCCTCAAGGAAGCACAGAAGGCCATTCAGGAACTCTTCAAAAGGATAAAAGACATCAAAGAAAAGGCTGACAAGTCTGAACAGATGGTGGGTGTCTTATATCCAATTTCCATTTATTGCATAAATCGTACATGCATGATAGTGATTATTTTGGTCTCTTTGTTTTGATAGGTGGTGATAATGTTGGAATTAATGTAAATGACACAACACGTATCATGTATTAGTATCAACTCCCCCGATGGTGCTGTATAAATGAAAATTATGAAAATGACTTTAAAAACAACATGTATCAAAATTCATCTTTCTGGGATAGTTCCACATTAAATTGTGGTATTTGTTTTCATTACAAATTTCAATACAAATAGCAGAGGCCTTCTTTACCCTATGACTTTTTAACGTTAATGATGTAAGATTGATATAATTGATGTTATAGGTGAAAGAGATAACTCGAGACATCAAGCAGCTAGACCATGCCAAACGTCACCTGACCTCTTCCATCACAACCCTCAATCATCTTCATATGCTTGTAGGAGGAGTGGATTCTCTAGAGTAAGTAGACCAAAAAACATTGTACATGTATACTTCAAGCAATAGTGATTCCCACATTGCACATCTTCATACCTCTGTCCATAGGATGTAATGTGGACATATGATAAATAATAGACCAGTTTATTCATTATATTCCAATTTATGGATGTTTCATTCCTGGTGACCTAGTGAAAAGTTATTCCATTAACCTCTTATTAATGAATGAACTACGATATTTGGTATTCAGCCTGCATATATTACTATGTTAGGCAAGCTTCTATCAAGAACAACCTTTGTTAAAAAAAGTAAACATGAAATTTGAATATGTAAGTTAACCTGTCTACTGTACAACACATAATCTGGTGACAATCACTTTGCAAACAAACCGTTATACTACCCACATTCCAAACAGGACCCAACACTTCTTAGTGCTCACCCTAACCATAACCATGACAAGATAAAGCCTGTGGCAAAGTTTGCCTGAATAAATGTTGAATTTCTCTAATTACTTGTCTACTTTATTTTTTGTATAACCAATGAAGTAACTCTTTTAAAAGACCAAAGACACTCCTTTTACATTTTGAGAATTAGAAAATAATTGAAAAGTTAAGGAAAACTGCCCTCGTATCTGCAATGCAAAGTGTTATTATGATTGACCTTTGTGGCACATTCAGTCATGTTTGACTTTTCTCTGTGATATGATTTTGAAAAGAAAGTTTTTGTTTATTTATAAACAGGAGCATGACAAGAAGAAGGCAGTATGGTGAAGTGGCTAATCTGCTTCAGGGAGTTGTCAATGTGATGGAACATTTCCAGAAATACATGAGCATACAACAGATCAGACAACTTGGCGATAAGTAAGTTCTAATGCAGGAAAGGAAGTGATTATGAACCAAACGCAAGAAAACCCCTAACTAATGTATTATTCCCTAGCAAGGATTTTTTTTACATGCTTGATTATTGTTCATTTACTGAATATTTAACTGAAGGCCTTTCTTTTTTTACCGTATTTATTACCATTTTTTCATATACAAATTCCATAATTATTAATGTTTACAATTTATAGAAACATAATGATTTATAGTAAAACAAAACGAAACATAAAGTTGTAAATTCATTACTGTGTGATTCTGATATTTTATACTTTAAGTGACCGCCGTTTAATGTTTTTCTTATAAACGGATTGCATTAGACTTGAAATTATCTTCAGAAAGAATTGAAATATCAGTTTAACTTTACTTGTGTTGAATGGTTATTTTCATTCCTCTTTTTTTCAGAGTTCGCAAAATTCAGTCTGAACTTGGCGTTCAGATTCTAGCAGATTTTGAAGAATCATTTGCCAACCAAGGAAGCAGGGTAAGATAATAATAATAATAATATAGAGTATTTGTAATGCACCAACTTCACATGACTAATGTGTTTGAGGCGCATGGAGAAGAAAAACTATAAGTACACAAAAATACACACAAAAATACACACAAAAATGATGTCTTACGTTTTAAAAATTGAAAATAAATTAAAATATTGTTATAACTATTATTATGGAAGTAATCAATTTATCAAACCAGATTTCATTTAAGGCAAGATATTTACATATTCCAAAATTGTGATACACAAGAGCAACTTTCTTCAATGCCCTTGTCAGATTTCATCTAAAATTGATTAATACAAAAATATAAATTTACTCTTGTACGATTGTTTGCAGCCAATTGGAAACATGCGAGAGCTTGCAGAGGCATGCCTAGTTGTCAAGGTTCTGGATCCCAAAGTCAAGTAAGTATGGCTAAAAATTATTATTCACAAAAAGACATGACAAGATAAACTCAAGTCAGCCATTAAACTATGTCTGAAAGAAATTGCTTGTTTTCCCTATTGATACCTTCATAAACAAGCAACTATTTTTTGCCTATGGACTGAATATATAAAGTTGTAATTTGTGCTAAATTCATCACTCTAAATAAATCCCGCTTTTAATAGAAAAGTTAAAAATTTTAAAGTTGTAATTTTTTTATTATTTTACTTAAAGTTTAAAAAGATTACATTTTCTTGAATTTTTTCTGGCCCATTTGAATTTAGGAAAGATCTGATGAAGTGGTTTGTGACACTACAACTCCAGGAGTACATGGTGCTTTTCCAAGAGAGCCAGGATGTTGCTTGGCTGGACAAGATCGATCGTCGCTATGCTTGGCTGAAGAGGGCGCAAGTTGAATTTGAGGAAAAGTACGGCCATATGTTCCCTCGTGATTGGGAAGTCAGTGAAAGGATTTGTGTGGAATTCTGCAATGTCTCAAGGTAGGTTTGCCATTTTATATTATGTTACAATATTAATGGTTATAATTTTTGGGACTATACAGTGTATTGAAGGGTACATCAATTATGCTAGAAAACAAACTTTTTGTTTGGCTGCCGCTCATGATTTATGTTTCATTTTATTTTGATAATCGATGGAACAAGCACTTGAACTCGAACTTGCATGTAATGGATAATAGTTTCAAGCTCATAGTGTGCTAACAAAATATTTTTTATGCCTCCGCTACAAAGTAGCCGGAGGCATTATGTTTTTGGGTTGTCCGTCCGTCCGTACGTCCGTCCGTACGTCCCGTTCTCGTGATCGCGTTATCTCAAGAACCGATTGGTTGATTCCCGCCAAACTTGAGTCATGTATGTATCTCACAGAGCCAATGAACTGATTAGATTTTGGGGTCACGAGATCCAAGGTCAAAGGTCACAGGGCTCATTATTTATGCGAAAATGGCTCGTGATCGCGTTATCTCAAGAACCGATTTATGGATTCCTGCCAAACTTAAGTCATGTATGTATCTCACAGAGTCAATGAACTGATTAGATTTTGGGGTCACGAGATCCAAGGTCAAAGGTCACAGGGCTCATTATGTATGCGAAAATGGCTCGTGATCGCGTTATCTCAAGAACTGATTGATGGATTCCTGCCAAACTTAAGTCATGGATGCATCTTGCAGAGCCAATGAACTGATTAGATTTTGGGGTCACAAGGTCGAAGGTCAAAGGTCACAGGGCTCATTATGTATGCAAAATAGCTTGTGATCGCATTATCTCAAGAACCGATTGATGGATTCCTGCCAAACTCAGGTCATGTATGTATCTTGCAGAGCCAATGAAATGATTCGATTTTGGGGTCACCAGGTCAAAGGTCACAGGGGTCTTTATGTATCCAACAATAGCTTGTGATCGCATTATCATGAGATCAAATAGACAGATTACTATCAAACTCAAGTCATGTATGTATCTTGCAGAGCCAATGAACTGATTAGATTTTGGGGTCACCAGGTCGAAGGTCAAAGGTCACATGGCTCATTATGTATGCCAAAAATAGCTTGTGCATGCATTATCATTAAAACCCACAGATGGATTACAATCAAACTTGAATTTAAAAATTGTTTCTGTTTTGGTTTGTAAAATTGCTCTATGGCGGAGGCATCATTTTTGACTGCGCGCAGTCAAAGTTCCATCTAGTTTCTTCTTCTTGTCTCTGCAAGGTCATATGTTTTTGGGTGAGAGCCAGAAGGCATTAACTCTTTGTAAAAGTAAGAGTTCATACCATGCTTTCTCTTGGCAGATGAAATCTCATTTCCAGGGCTTTTAGGGGCTTGTATGCTCTCATGCAATGTGAGGGGTAACAATTGTTCATGTTATCATGTGCAGTGCTTTCTTAGTGCAAGGAAGGCATGCCTTGTTGAATTGATTTAGTCACACAGTCCTTTGTTATTAGTAGAATCTGCATCCAAATGTTTTTCCCATTCATTTGTACTTCCAACAGGACGGAACTTGGTAAGATCATGCAGAAGAGGGAGTCCGAGATTGACGTGAAGCTACTGCTCTTTGCCATCCAGAGAACAACCAACTTTGAGACCATCATTGCCAAACGGTTCAGCGGTGTCACGTTACAACCTCCAGGTGAAACCTCTTCAGCGGGAAACGTGACAGCGGCAGAGGAAAACATGGTTTCAACAAATCCTTTTGAGATGGAAGAGGAACCAGCAGAAATGAAGGTAGGAGAGTCAATTCACTTGTCAGGCTAGCCTTCAGTGTTTATTATGAATGTATGCGATACAATATCAATACATGTATATATTTTGGTATCCACTTTATTCCTTTATGTGAAATGAGATATCAAAAAAATATGCTTTTTATTTCTTTCTCTCTTTCCTGCTTTCTTGTAGACCTTAGCCAAACCCAAGCTGTCATCATTCCAAGGTATCATAAGTCAATGTTTTGAACCCCATCTTCACATCTACATCCAGTCACAAGATAGGTAAGTCTCGTAAAATAATGAACAAAATTATAATAAAGATGAGAATGATGGTGATGATGTTAATGGTGATATTAATGATGATGATGATGATGATGATCACTATATCTTTAACAATAATGTTTTTTTAACTAATTATATGAAAAGTAGTGTTTCATTTTAGACAGTTTCTTCTTTTTATGTACATGAAAGAGATACATTTTTCAGACTCAGAGAATGCAATCAGTATGGTAAAGAAGGAGACATAAAACAAGATTAATGAGTCATTGATGAGGAATTATGAGGAGAGATCTCATGAGTGAGGATAAACAAACAGGTTGTCATTAATTCCTACTTTTTACCATCTTCAGGAATTTATCAGACCTGATCAATCGATTTGTAGAGGCCTTCAAGACGCAGGGTCCTCCTCGAATTGAGTCAGAAGAGAGCGGAGCTGTGCTGCCCTCATGTGCTGACCTGTTTGTGTACTACAAGAACTGCATGGTCCAGTGCTCTCAGCTTAGTACGGGTACACCGCTCCTGGACTTGACTCAAACCTTCCAGAAATACCTCAGGGTGTTTGCTAACAGGCTTCTCACAAACAATCTACCAAAGTGAGTTATGACAATGGACATTCCCTGTAAACATGGTCATTCGCAAGTCGTGATAAGAATTTTATCCATGGAAATAGAGTTATGAGTTATGAGATTTGTTCATGATAATCGTATACAATTTTTTGATTAACATAATAGTAGACATTATTAGTATACATATGTAATTATGTTTTATACGTGTGATATGAAATGATAAACAAATTGTGTCACATGAAGGACACCCAAGTCTAGGATGATACTTTGCTATTATTGTGATTGTACCCACATTGGTCCTATGCTAAGGTAATTATTTCTGTATTATGTGCCGCTAAGGGCTATTCATTAGATGTTTCTATAACCTCATTTATTTACTCTGTATGATGCCCCTATTTCACAGGTCACAAACTACAACTCCAGCTGGTGGTCTGAACATCTCAGCTTTGCTCAAAGAAGGTTTGAAAGAATCCTCGTCAGATGTACCTAAGTTTACTCCTGAGGAACAGTACTTGGTTTGCAGTATACTGTGTACAGCAGAGTACTGTCTGGATACTACTCAGCAGGTAGGTTATTATGAAATATGAAACAAAAGACCTTAAAAAGAAGATTGAGTTCTGGGAAGAGGTGAGAAATAATTTGTGAACGTTATCACTGTTATTATGCAAGTGCATCAGATAAAACATGCTCCCTGAAAAGCATGGCTCTTCAAATGCCTTCGTATTCTAAATATGGCATGTAACATCGTAAAAATCGGGACAGATTTTTACGCCACGTGTTCGTGTAGTCCCATATACATCTTTCTATGTACAATGATTGTAACTTTACCAAGACTTGGCCATTTAAAAAAAAAATCATTTTGAAGATTCCAGAACCATGCAATACACACAAATACTTATATGCTAGATGATCAACCTTTTCTGATCGACTCCACACCCTTTCTTTCACAATGCAATCGCATGACCACAACTTAGCTTTATCTTTAAGAGCAGAATCTAACCTTGATCACAAGTTGTTTTAAATGGAAGCAGAGGAGAAATCAAAGGAACAGATCTGTAACATTTTGAGAAAAAGTTTGAGAAACTGTTTGAATTTTAGAATCGTTTACGTATTGCAGCGCTGGAAGGGTACACTCTGCACAGATGCACATCATTTGACGTTAGCATGATACAAAATCAATAGTCAAATGTGGTTTTGAAAGAACACTAAGTAGATATGAAAGAACATTCTTGTCATAAGTTTGGGCCAATGCATTTTATGAAGTTCTGAAATAATGACTTTATTTCTTTGTTTTCAGCTGGAAGAGAAATTAAAGGAAAAGATCAACCCATCAATGGCTAGCAGGATAGACCTCAATGGAGAAATGGATGTCTTTCACAAGTAAGATATTCAGGGGGGGGGGTGTGTTTCACAAAGACTGAGATCAACTTTAAGTTGGCCTTAACTATGGCAGGCCATTCATGCCACTAGTTCCTCTAAACCATTCCTGGCATGGGACGTATAAATTGTGGTCACAAATCTACAGAATTTACCTTTTTTGATAGTTCATTATTGAAGGAAAAATATTATCTAAAGATCATAATTGAGAGGCCAATGGTGAGAACAGCCAGGGGCATGAATGGCCTGCCATAGTTAAGTCTAACTTAAAATCGATCTTAGTCTTTGTGAAACACCCCCCTGGAATTGTTTGTAATTGGTTGACTTAATTGATGAATGAATGGAAGATAAATATCTAATGACTTCTTTGTCATTCATAAAGATGTTGTGATAAACATAAGATGGTCAAGAATGAAATGAATATCTAATGTAAACATTTTGGGTTGAAGGGTTAATGGTTGATAATGAAAGAATTTGCATTTCTGTTTTAACTGGAGAATCAACAAGTGGGTATCCAAATATTTTGTTACTTGTGAACAGTTCATGTATGTATAGGAATACATGAAACAGTTAAGTAATTAGACTGTGAATGCCTAAGATATGTGGTTACTGGCATGCCAATCAATACTTAATAGATATTGATAAGATGACTTCTGACGTAAACTGTCAATTATTATGCCTTTGTTTTCTTGAGACTAGTAATGTTATCATTATGCCTTTGTTTTCTAGAGACTAGTAATGTTATCATTATGTTTCTATATTTATATCCTTCAGTGTGATATCAAACTGTATTCAACTGTTAGTGCAAGATCTAGAAACAGCATGTGATCCCGCTCTAACAGCCATGAATAAGGTAAGAATGTACCTTAATTTTTTTCTTCTAAATCTTAATATGAAAGAGAAAGGTACATTTGAATTTGACTACGCAATCACTTACACTTTCTCATAACTCAAGTAGTAGTAGGCTCTATTGGATAACTTGTTTAGCACAGGGCTAATCTTCCACAAGGTCCATCTGCGTATACTGGTATACTGGGGTTTGCAGGTGGACCACTACACAGGGGTTTCCCCTACTCTTATACGAATAGTGCAGTGGTCTCTGAACGTGCAAAGGTGGTGACTATCTTCTACACGGGCTTCCATTTAATGACCTATCAGGAGATGGATAAAGAAGAACTTATGAAGAAATTTTTCAGCATGTTTTAAGTAAAGAGGTTTTCTCCTTGAAGCACAAAGAAGAATAGGGCTGAAGTTATTTTGTACTCTGTGTAACAAGAGACTTAAAACTCTTATTTGAATCATTAAAATGTGTATGTGATGCATGATTGAACTGTGAATAACACAAGGTTGACACAAGTTACTATCTGTTGTTTCTTCTATAGGTGAACTGGTCCTCCGTAGAGACCGTAGGTGATCAGAGTGGTTATGTGACTGCCATTACAACACACATCAAACAAGCATTACCAGTCATACGAGACAATCTAGCATCGGCTAGAAAATACTTCACTCAATTCTGCATCAAATTTGCCAAGTAAGACATGAAATCATTGTACTCTATGTAATTTATTCATTGTAATTAATAATACCTAAGGCCCCGAATTCATTTGAAAGCAAATACTCAAGACACACTTGTGAAACAAAAAACATGTGATGTAGAAATTATAGTATTACAAATCTGACTATTTAATATCAATGTACATTTTTTACAAAGATTTTAAATCATAATGGTCCAGGATAGTGGTGATTATTGTTCAGATTACCCCATAATTCTCTTATAATCCTTCCTTTCATGTTATGGATTTGGCAGAAACAAATCTATCTAAAAGATAAAATATGTTACATATGTTCAATTGAAAAGTGGTCCAAGACAGGTACTGCCATTACAGAATAGGATTTAATTCTCTTTATCATTCTTTTTTTTCTTGATAAAGAATATATATCCTTCTTTTATCTCTTGTTCAATTACATGTCAAACCAACAGTGTCTCCTGTTATTATATTTCATTCATTCTCTGTCTTTTTCCTCAGTTCTTTCATTCCACGATTCGTCAGCCACATCTATAAATGTAAACCCATCAGTACAGTGGGTGCAGAGCAGCTTCTCTTAGACACACATTCCCTCAAGACAGTGCTTCTAGACCTACCGTCCATCGGATCTCACGTATCTAGGAAAGCACCTGCCAGGTAAGGGTTCTTCTAGACCCATATTCTTCAAATTGTTAAATTTACACCTACTTTCTGTTGGCTCAGAGGTTCTAGGAAAGCTCCCTATAGGTAAGATTTCTTCTCCGAGAGTCTGAGACTATGGAAGGTAAAAGGTTGTCTAAACCTGTATTTATCCATCAAGCTTGTAGACCTAATATCCATCACTTGTTGGTGCTGAAGTCAATGTGCTATTAATGCCTTTGATGAAGCATTCCATGATTATCTAATACCTCTTTTGAAGTCATGACTTTGTGTGTGGTCTGAGAACAAGGAGATTCCAATCCTGAATTGTTAAAAAACAGTGTTTCTAGAAACTTGTGTAAAGGTCTCAATGTACCAAAAAATGTTTGAAATGTCAACAATATTTTTGGGGTAAAATTTGAGCTAGTACTCTGACCTCTTGTACTCCCAAGCTTGATGAATCCTTGTTTTATCTCTTCTGCAGCTATACCAAAATAGTTGTGAAAGGCATGACTAAAGCAGAGATGATCCTCAAGGTTGTGATGTCACCTCAGGACCCTGCTGAAGCATTCGTTGATAACTACATCAAACTCATAGCTGATACAGACACCTCAAACTTCCAGAAACTTCTAGAAATGAAGGTAAGAAATTTAAACAGCATTTTATGCTGTATGTATTGGTATGAATACAGGCTTTGTGTTGAGCAAAATAAAGTTATAATCTCAGAGTGCTTTACTTAGATGACTATCACTAAAGAAAGCATAACAGAAATGGGAAAAAGGATTTTTGTTAATAGATGCTTGATTTGATTAAAATGAAGTACATTTACTTGATGAAAGCAGTAACAAAGAGTTTTTCAAGATATGATCATACAGTGTTGTTCTCACTCTATTCACCAGTGCCTAACTGCATGAATCTGTTTTTACAGACCAAAAATAAGAATCATTATTTGCTCATGATCACATTGTTCATCTGTACCTAGGTAGGCCATGTGCTATCATTGGTTCTTGAACAGTCCTCTATCTCTTCTCCATTTGATTTGCACAGGGTTTGAAGAGGAGCGACCAGAATGCCATGCTGGATATCTTCAAGGCACGTCTGTCAGCGACCAATCATCCTGGTCAGAATGTAGTAGTCGTCTCGTCATCACAAGAGCAACAGGATCTCAGTAGAATACGAAGACTTGAAAAAATTATCAAGAGAAAGTTGTAGTAGACACAATCTTCAAGAACTCTTAGTTGCAATTAAGCCATCTTGTTGACAATGTAGCATGTTTGAGAAAACCAACATCTCATAAATGTGTGCCACTCAAAGATGTTTCACTTACTTTTTTTGGCCATATTTTTCAAACTGAATTATATCTATTCCCGTTTGAATCAAACATGCAGATAATAACGTCTTTGGCTTTCTAACATTAAAATCTACACTAACTTTTTTTTCTCTGAATGTCTTTCTGCCCCCTCCTATGTCTGTCTCTGTCTCTCTGTCTCTGTCTCTGTCTCTTTCTCTCTCTCTCTCTCTCTCTCTCTCTCTCTCTCTCTCTCATAGATTTATTCAAGTAATATGATGTTCCGCTGAGATTCCATTTTAAGTTCAGAACTTCAATATTTATTTTTGAGGTGTTGCTGAAGGTAACATACTTTGTTAGAATATTTTTATTCGTACAAAATAACTTTGGTTTTGTTTCCCATGTCTGAATAGAGAATATTGCAAATTGATTATGGGGTAAAGTGCAAATGTGCCAGCAGTGTTAGAGAAATAGCTCTGTGACGGTTGTAAATTATTTTGATCTTATTTGATCTTATCAATGAAATGAATAGTACTACCATCATGTGACATGATTCCAATGAAAATGGTCACAAGATTTGATGTTATATGTATATGGTAAATCAGTAATTTGTTATGAGATTGTGTATCATAATGACTACACCCTGGACAACTATTACATAAATATAAATATATAAATTTTGTAAACAATGCTCATCTACCTGTAATGTATGTTATGTCTAATTTCATTTATCTCAAGGAAAAGCCAGCACATGCATCAACTAATTTCTTTAGATTAGTAGATCTTAAACTTTCTGGCCCTATGACCTCATCTGACATTCCGTGTCTGTGCCATTACCAACCTAAATGCAGTTTTCCATTGTTGCCATTACTCCATGTAATGTAACTGTAATGGATTCAAATAGGATTGTCTCTTTTCTATGAATCATCAATTTATTTAACATCAAAATGGAACAAAGGAGCATATCAGATAAATAATTGAGCTCAGGTATTGTGGAGGTTACATACATGCGGGCAGCAACAGAAACAAAGTATGATAAACCACAAGAATTTATAAATAAATATACATATAGAAAGTATTAATAAAATTGTTCAAGCTTCATAAATCAATATTATTTAGTAAAACAATTGGATATTGTAGCTACTGAAGGACAGAAGGGTGATTTTACTCAGACTGATTTTACAGTTCACGCCCTTCTGGCCCCCGGCAGACGGTTTATGACAATGCCAAAAGTTAGTAAATGGCAAGAAATAGATGAACCTAATTATCCAATAGTAACATTTACAGTTTTTAAGATTGCAAAGCTGAATTTTTCAGCTGCTGCGAGCCGAACAAGCATTCAATGAGGTTTGTTTACGTATAGTTCAGCTCTCATGCAGGAGATGATCCATCCATGACCCCTCTCAAAACTCTCTGAATGGAGGGGTCACTAACCCCTAGTTTAAGACTTATGATGTTGAATATTAGGGCAATCATGTTACAATGTAGACATTCAACAAAAGTACAAGTAAGTGAAGTTAATATCCCATCTTGTTTATTTCAATGCTTTTACTATTACTTTGCATTATCATATCTTCAATGCGCTCTTTTCTAAACGCTTCTTGTTGTACATATGTTTTTCCCATACATAAAGTTATTATGTTTTGTAGATTTGTCAATGCTGATTCCTTCTAAGTTATGTATTTTATATATTTCTATATAGAACTAATCATATATGTATTAATAGATTTATGCTTATTCCCCAAGATTATGTCATTGCCATCCAGAGCTGCCAACCATTCCGTTTTTCCCGGAATTACTCTGTTTATTCCTCTAAATTATGGTAGTACGTTTTTCTTCATAAAATGCTTTTTTTTAATAATTGTTTATAATTTTTTTTTTTTTTTAACATACTGCAGGTCAAACAACTGTCCTTAAAATTTTATTTTGATCACAAATTCAATAGGAAACTATCGTCAAAACATACTTAAAGAGAAACATATTCTCAAAAAGAATTAAACGCCGATAATACGAAAAATAGCAACAACAAAATACCTACTTGTAACTATAGGTCCTAATACAAAAAAACAGCATGAGGAATGGACATTTCTGCAATGGAAGTTTGTCGTGGTTGTAAGTTTGTTTTAATGAATTCCTTTTTTTTGCCATCGTGGTTCCTTTTTTTGGTCGTACAAGGTTGGCAGCTCTGGCCATCTGTTCTTGTATGAAGTATTCATCTTGAGTATAGTATGTATATCACTTACTTCATGTATATCATCTGTTGAGAGCCAGAAGGGCATTAAAACTATGTTGTGAGTTAACCTATTGACTACAGAGTTACCTAATTCCCATAGGCTTAACACAGGGACCACCCAGTTCTGGTTAGCAATGGGTTAATTGAGTCTTTAAGTATTCAATTAGTCAACACCCTTCTGGCTCTCAGCAGATATTGGGATGCCTGCTTATTACCCAGACCATACATCTCATCAACCATTCAGAAGTGAGAAATCTGCTTGACCCTTACCAACCCATTCCCTCCTGGAACCAGATTACTCCTGTATTAAGCATGTGGTAATAAGAACATATAGTAGTAAATGGGTTAAAGTGCAAGTCTGGCCGATGTGCGAGTTGAATTAAATAAATAGAGAGAGAAACAAAATCCTAAAAAATCCTAAAAAGTAATACAGCGTAAAAATTTGGGGGAATGGACCAATTTATAAATGTATCTATTGGATCAATCCACATCCACTACATCAGTTGTTGCTTTGACAGGCAAACATTGGGCAAGCTTTCGGTTTTTCTAGAGCAACTTTTGTTTTAAAAAGGGTAAATGGTATGTATTCCGGTACTTAGATATGCTCATTCGTCTGTGTATTGTGCAAATATTATGTATATAGATAAGAATGAATAAGTATTAAAACCATGAAATCTAAAGCAGAACTATAATGCAAGGAACAAGGTCTATCTCTGTATTGTATCTTTAGTGTGTGATGTGTATGCTCACAATGCTGGCTTTAATGAAACTGTGAAGTATTTGAAAATGGTAGATTTTAAACAATGGAGATAAATACAGAAAAATATACTGGAAGTTGGAAGAAAAAACATAGAGGAAGTGAGGAATAAGAGTGAAAGTAAGAAAAGGTTAGATGAAAGAGGAAATACAATAATCTTACAAAAAGGTGAACGAGTGGGAATGGGAAATTCAAGGGTAGCATAAATTGCCCGTCCAAAATTGCAAGTCACTAAACAATTCCAAGAAACAATGTAACAACATGAAACAACAGTTCTCTAACATGCTTTAACAACAAACAAAAAACACACGAGAACCTGGCCTACTGGGAGGGGGGGGGGGGGGGTCTCGCCGTGCATCCCACGTGCGCCTCATGTATATATAGTATACAAATGTATAAATGTTTTTATATATTGAGTTATATTGATGTTTCAATTTATGTTATGTTTTTATGTTTTATGTTATTGTTTGTATCATGTGGAGGGCTCCGTTGGAAAGCAGTTTCTTTTAACTGAATCGGACTACCCTCCACTGTTTTACCAATTGTAATAAATAAAACATGAATAAATAAATAATAATAAATAAATAAATAAATAATGACAATAAATGTAGACAATATAAAACATGGAGAAAACTAATTAGAAGGTGAATAAATCAGAAATAAATTATTCTTTGACAGATTATGCAAGATAAACGATAGAGTTATCCATCTGTGTCAGACAGTTCAGTCGTTCAGTTAAATAAGAAGACAACAATTACAGTACAATTTACTACATCAATTTGTATAACTACCTGCTATATTGCTCATCTCTCGTACATTAACCTGGCTTGTGATAATCATGTTCGCTCGCGGGCGCGCTCCAGAAATTTACACCCTGGAATTTATTGGATCACCGCGCCGCGCGAATGCGATTAGGGAACATATCTCTTAACTCCCAAGCTCTTCCTCTATTTTTATCCTACATCCCGTCTGACATTTTGAGATGAAGCACGGTCTACCGGGTTCATGAACCAAAAGTAATAATGTGGATGGGTGTCGGGAGAGAGAAAAGGAGATTATGCGAGTGCAATCGAACGATGAACTATGAGAATGTTGTTAGGCTCTCATAGCCAGCAAGGTGTGATATTGAATTGATTGAATTTCGGTTGTGTAACAGAATTCGTTGGGTGTACGAATGTATATATAGTTACAGAATGATATTAAATTTGATTCAGTTGTGAGAGAGGGAGAGGAAAGGAGGGAGAGAGAGAGAGAGAGAGAGAGGGGGTGATAGAAAGGTTTGGGGAGGGGGGGGGGGGGGGGGGAGAGAACGGAAGAGGCGCTGAACGCGTTGTGATTTAAAATGGTCGAAGCAAGCAGGTATGGGGGTTGGAACCACCAGGGACAAAAAGGATTTTTCAAATTGAGTTGGCAATAATGATGGCTCTCCATTCCCTCCGCCAGAGAAGAAAGCTCCGAGCAATTTAAAATATTGTCTTTCTTCATGGAACTGTATAATACCAGCTGCTTATTTCAAGAACATTTGGTTGCATTTTTTTTTTTTTTTTTTTTTTTTGGGGGGGGGGGGGGATTTGTTTCGCTTTCCCGTCTCCTTTCCACCTCTTAACTTGGCATGTTACAATTTAGATTCATGTATCAATTATTGTTTGATATTACATCGATGCTTCCATTGACACCTTGCTCAAATTTTCTATGCATGAATAATTTGCATCTTTTTTTCCCTCCTTGATGTCTCAACAAAATTGAAATGAAGACACTTCGACCTATGGTATGATATACAATAAAGATTTTAAAAATAAGAATTCCCCCTTTCATGTGAATATTGAAAAGACAAACAATTATCCATTGACGGGCATTCTTACATCAGAGAGTCACTCAGTCAAGAACAAGACATGTATAGTTCAATCACTTCAGTACAAGCCAAACGAGATCAATGTTATCATAGCACAGTCGTCTGCAGACAGTGAACAAATATTTGAACAATCCATAAAGTGCAAATTTATATTTGAGATATGATGACCGCGCTATCGCGTAGCGTTGACATGAATGACATATCAATTACTCGCTATCGGGGGTTGTATTTATAAGTTCAAGAGGAGAACATCACAATAGAATGTTCAATGAATGACATTGACAAAGTGAAATTCAAAAACTTGCTTGTCAAACGCCAACGCATTCGTCTTGTTCGAAATTAAATAAACATGGAATTGAAGAAAGATCTAACAAATGCGAATACCAACAGCCACGTCATGCTGTCTTCATATAAGGCCTTTACAAAAAAAATAATTATGTATTGCCCTTTGCGACCGACCCCAAAATCTTGAAAACTACGGTCGGCTTTTTATTTTTTGAATTATTTTTTTACCGTTTTTTATTGAAAAAAATATTGGAGCATTCAAAACTGAGAAACATTATAGCCCAAAGAGGGAGAAGACAAAAACAGATTTCCGACCGACCTACCCGTGTTTTGGCACCTTAAGGGCAATACAACAACTTCGTCCAAAGGGGTTTCTATTATGAAAACAGAAGGACGAAGAAGAGGTAGAAGACAAATGGGGAAAGAAGAGAAGGAGGAAGACGGAGTAGACAAAGAAGAAAAAGAAGGAGAAGAAAAGGAAAAAGAAGAAGAAGATGGTGAAGATGAAACACCTATACACAGACATAATTTTGTACAGGCTTGCATGGAGGTGACTTGGCCGGGGGGAGCAAAAGGTTCAATACACCCAAACTTTGTCGACACTGGGACAAGTGAAGAGAAAAGGAGAGAGAGAGAGAGCGAGGGAGAGGGAGAGAGAGAGAGAGAGGGGGGGGGGGGGGGAGAAAGAGAGAGAGAGAGAGAGAGAGAGAGAGAGAGAGGGGGGGGGGGGGAGAGAAAGAGAGAGAGAGAGAGAGAAAACCAAAATGAGGGGGGGGGGGGCATGTCCATGGAATAATTGAACCTGAAGCCCGACTTCACGGCATTGGACGCTTGCGTGCGTGAAATCAAGTTCTGTATTAAGAATAACCTTTCTTGTCTAATTACGGTTCAATATTCTGCTTCAAGTGTAACATTTTGTTCCGAATGATTACATTTTCATCGGCCATTTTTGTAATCGGCTTCAACATGCAGTTGATTTATAACTAATAAAAAATATCAACTATCACTTGTCACCATGCATAGGAGATAGTGCCCAAATATTCTGTACCATATTGTTTACATGTATATAAAATACCAAATAAAATATCAAAAATTAAATGGGGAAACAAAATAAAAACAAAAATTAATCAATAATTTCGATCTGTCGAGTTTATTGTTGTTTTATTACTGTACAGATTGCGTAGAAAGGCCTATAATACTGAGATGTTCAATTTCACAAGTTTATAAATAGCAAGATGAAAGAGAGAGAGAGAGAGAGAGAGAGAGAGAGAGAGTGAGAGAGAGAGAGAGAGAGAGAGAGAGAGAGAGGGGGGGGGGGTTGAGAGAAGATATAGACTAATAGGTAAACGAGATCCCATCCTCTATCCCACTCTTGATCGAATATCCTCCTTTTCTGTTGCTTTTTGACACATATTCTGAATGAAAGCTTTTTAAAAATTTGTTCATCATGTCTGACAGAGATAAGAGAACAGACAAAGAGAGATAGAAAAAAGAGTGAGTAAGTGAGTGCGTTTCCAAGTATTCGTAAGCACAATTTGAAACAATTTTTTTCTTTCTGGGGGATCCACAAACTACAAGCACTGCTTTTAAGTGGATCCCCCCATTTTCTTAGAAATTATGAATTTCTTGTAATAATTTAATTATGTGTAAAGAGTATTTGTATAGTTACCAAGAAAAATATCAATAACGTTCACACATTTTTGTTCATACTTTCTGTAATAATACATGTAAAAACTTTGTTTATCTTTCTTTCTGTTGAAAATGAAACAACTATATAAATATCCATATTATTATTATTATTATTAATATATAAGTGATAGAGAGAGAGAGAGAGAAAAAAAACGAGAGAAGGAGGGGTGGAGACGAAGGAGGGAGATGAAAGTTCATATTCATCTCGAACATTAATTTATATCAGGCTATTTGTCAAAATGATGGAGAGTTCAAAAGTTGATAACGATTTGGCGCATTGAGTAATTGTTGTTGAGGCATGCCAAAGTCGGAAGAAGAGCCTGAGCAGTTATTCAAAAAGTGATGAATTTCCCAAATTTTCTGGATGGACAGTATAATCATTGATGTATGGATAATAACATTCCAGGACAATCCATCTCTTTCGATGTCAGACTCATTTTCTGCTCCATCGATTTCCTTCTCGTTTTCTTAAACCACATGTTTTCATGTTCACCGATCACAGTCGGATGCGTGGAGGTCATGTTTCTCTCCTGCATGACGTCACACTCAATTTCAAATCCGTCTGCTTGACACTTCATCAGTTTTTTAATGTAACAGATACAACCTGAAAAGTAGGGCATGTGGCAATGAGATTTGCACAAAAGCGTTGCGAAATTTGACAAGGAAGCTGAGATTTTTCGCAGGTTGAGATGGATTGATTGCTTCTCCAACTTCATTCCCCACGCCCACTTTTGGATTCGTTCACTAAGGAGTGGGGTGGGTAGCGGGCGAAAGCCGTTAGCCACCGCAGACTCGTCGCTTCACCACACAATCATTAAGGCCAAATATTTAGTCAGCAAATAAATGTCAAGCTTGATTTCACATTGTTTTTGCCTGGAGTGTATTCATATTAATGAGATGAAAACAAAAACAGTCAATATCGATTAAACTGTGAAGACGTCCGCCGACACCTCAGGTCGATTCGTCCATGTCTGTAATTTAAATAAGAAAAGATAACGGCGCGCCACTCAAAAAACTCTCACACACAATACACACAAAGGAACGGCCCGTGTTTACTCTATCGAGTGTGTAAAGAGCTCACAGAGAAAGAATGGCTCATACACGGTGTTATTGTTGGTGATAATAAACCTGTTCCCCGTTAACTTTAGCAGAGAACTTCTCGTGAACTAGAAACTCAGTACTAAAAACTTGTTTCGATTATTTTAGGATAATTTGCCCGATTTGACCTGCAAGATGTCTTCCTATGCGGGACTAGACGAGATAGGACTTCGAAAATTGGTAAGTGTATGACATTTTAGCATTCCTATATTCAGAAGTCGTGAACTTCCAGTAACAATCAGTCAGTGATGCCCTTCAATCTCGATATCTCGGGGCCGTATGGGCGAACCATTGATTGCAGATGATGCCGGTAACTCGGGCGGCAGGTGTTTCACGTTCTCCGTGTTCAGCTCGTGCTATATTCTTTGCGTTGTTTGGTTATAAATCCTATGTTCTAAAATGAGCTCTTCAATGACAATGATTGTGGAGTAATTGCTACGTGCAATATGAATTGTTTACAAGCAGGTTATATATTTTAACTGAATTTGGATGTATCCCCATCACAATATTTATAGATCTAGTGGTAAAATCTACTGGTAGATAGAAATGGAAAGGCCAGAAGGTTGACAGATGTCATTTTTATTGATTTTAAAGTACTCCACATACGAATACATGCACTAGCATTTTATTTTATGCAACTAATCGGATGATTATGGTAAAATGTCACAAACATTTGAAGACATTTACAGCTTATTTCTCTCCAGTTTACACAATCTTTCCTATCTGCGGTTTCTTTTCTTCTTTTCTCATCTTTAATAGTTTGACTCTTGTATTGATTCTCTTAATTGCTCTTGCTTCTCTTCTTATTTATCATCTACCCTCTCATCTGCTACTTTCTCTTCCTTATATTTCTGGTATATATCATTCTTTATGACTGGCATTACATTTTAAATGTTATTGTTTGTATTTGAACCATGTTATACATTTTATTATTTTTGTAATCAATCATGTAAGGATAAATCATTTTTGATAAAGTGTATTACAAAAAATGTTGTTTAAAGCAACACTGTAAATATTACTTAATAGTTTCAGAGGTTTGAGCAAAGATGTCAGCTATTTGCCATAATTTGATATGTTAAAGTATAACTGTAAGCACAAATTGAAACCACTTCTGATTTTATAAGTAATGATAATTGTTTCATATTTTGTTCCATGCTGATAAACAATAGATTTCCTCTCTCATTAAGGCTAGATCAGAAACTAGAAGTAATTCAATACCCATTATGACCCATAATTTGATGAAATTGATGGCTCTGCTTGGCTGTTAATTGTTCAATTTTACACAATGACTATCACAATGTACTAATGAGAAGCTATCAGTGAGCCTAGATTCTCTCTCTCTCTCTCTCCATAATGCAGCTTTCTTGCTAATATGATTTTGAGTGGTACACATGTTATATGTTTACCTCTATTACTCTAATTCCTGAACACTGAACAGGAGTTCACTAATAGGGCAGACAGGACTATAAATAACCCCCAACCACCCTACTGTCATGGTACTACTTGGTAGCGGGGTGAAGCAGGGGAAGGAGCACATCCAATTGGGGGGGGGGGGGGGGGGGGGAGACAAGACAATGAAAGAGGGCATCAATTCCTTGGAGGAGGTTGGGGTTAGATTCTGAGGGAGGGGAGGGGTGGGAGTTGGAGAGTCCAAGGGCAGAAGTGGTTTGTGATTTATAATCACGACCCGTCTTTGAGATGACCTCCTGATTGTGAATCATTCTGAAATCTGAATGTAGTTGACATGATTCTATGATATTTGGATTTGGAACTCACTGACATTTTGCATCAAATATAATTAAGTACTCCAGGAATAGATGATACAAGTAGTAAAGTATACGACTATTAGGTAGGCCTGCATTGTTTGCAGATGAATTGATAGAATGTGTTTGCCCCCAAGATCTCATTGCTCATTCACTGAAAAGAAAAGTTGTTGGATTATATCGTCACCGTTTTCACGAAGTGTCCCAAGAGCGTTTTAGCGTACAGAAACAAATTTTGAGATAAACGCGTTTAAAGTTTCACTTTTTTACAATCGCTGTTTTCACGGGGAAAAAGTATGTGATGGTATTCATTTTTTTGGATATCTTGATAGTACACTATCTACAGAATGAAATGATATAAGTTTTACGTGGAAATAATGTTTATTTAAACAATAATTAGACCTCAATCACAGAGGACAGTCAGAGGACGGTTCGTGAAAACGAAAAACTTGACATCCACGCTTAGGCTCGTCTTCACGTAGTGGCCCCGCAGCTTACGCGGCCCCGTTTCCCCGTTGGTTATGTGAAATTTCGTTTTTACGAACCGTCCCAGTTGACGTGCGCGCTACATGCAAAGCAATGCCCATTTGCGTACCCCCCCCCCACCCATAAAAATATATTTGTCATACCTAGCTGATTCTGTTTCCTCGAAATCACAGCACTATATTCAATGTTAGACTCGCATCACTCTGCCCCATCCAGAAATTCATCTTGAATCCTTCACATAATGCAGGAAATGCAATAATTTGTTAGTGACTCTGAATGCCTGTTATGGAAATTGTATATACTGTCCTGCTTCATATGTGATTTAAGTTTAATTGAATATTTTTGTCAATGATCAATAGCATATTTGCATACTTTTTGTTTGGGGGGGGGGCACACCAAGCACTATGTACAACTTCTTCTCAATTCTTTCTTTCTCTTTCTCTCTCTCTCTCTCTCTCCTCTTTAGCTCTCTCATGCAAACAAGAACATCCCCCTCCTTCTCTTTCTTTCTCTCTCTTTATCTCTCTTTTTGTCGTTTATTACCCCTCTTTGTTGTCACATAAGTCATTATCATTTTAGTACATTACTCTCTCAGACACATTTCTCCTATAAACAAATCTAACTAAATAAGAATAAACGTTGAATAGCACAAAGCAATCAAATCTTAAGATTAATACTTTCGTCTTGATTATGACTGCATTTATTTCTTTGCAATATACAGTAACTGGAATCGTTTTTGTACAGTTCATTTCACAATTACATGTACAATCATTAAAAATTGATAAATCATAATAATAATAATAATAATAATAATAATAGCCTAATAGTTCACTCAAAATTTTATTAAACCGAAACGGAAATTCTTTTTGCCCAATTGATCGTGAGCCCGGCAGCCACTGAGCAGCGCCAGATCGACGTTGCTCTATCCCTTATTGTTGAACGCCAAACAAGGTAGCAACAACTCCCATCTTTTAACGTCTTTTGGTATGACGCGGCCGGGATTCGAACCCACGACCTCCCAGTTGTGAGGCGGACGCTCTACTGACTGAGCCAACACTCCGGTGTAATGAATCATGTTTGAATATCAAAATTGCAACTTATTTAACTGTAGCCCACACTCATGGCAAAAAATACAACATGTATTCTGAAATGCAAATTCACAAGGCCACTGATTAGGGGGAGGGAGGGTTACAATATAGTTTGAGTACTGCCACAATGGGAGAGGAGCTTAAAAGAAAATCATTAATTATTTATATTTTTTGTGTATGACATACAAAGTTGTCAGCTGCATACGTCCCTGTTGCCTCATAAAATTGCAGATCTGAGATTTACATAGATGTTGTAATCTAACTTTTCAAACATTATTTCTTATTCTATGTCTGATTTCTTTCAAACTTTCCCCAGTCTATTACACTCATTTTGTTCTGCTTTAACATAAATCAACTTGTTACAAAGGTTGGATTGCCCTTTGAAATATAAACTATTAGCAATTAATATTAGTCCTACATGCCAAATCCAAAACATACAACACTGTAAGTTTATGGGATTAACACTGTAAGTTTATGGGATTAAAACTTCTTACATGCAACTTTCATATGATGGATGACCTTAGTCTGTGCTGTTCTTAGTGAGGAAGGAGGGAGGTTGTCACTGTCAAAATAATAATAACAATATGCTCAAGGCGCTCCAACTATTACCCTGGCTCTGCTAGGCAGCCGCTTTCGGTGCTCACAGCAGAGTGGCAAATGTAGATTAATATCTTGCCAAAAGACATTACTGCTGTGGCGGGACTTGAACCATGGATCCTGTGATCCACAGTCCAACGACTTATCCACTAGACCACAAAACCTCTAAATGGAGGCACATTCGGAGTCAGAGTCTCCTGTCAGCGTTGCAGTCCCCGTCCAGTCCACATCCATCTAGCTCATAGTGACTCTTGAACCCACCCTAAGCCTTCCGTTATATCGAAGATCTCGTTTCTTGCCACAATTGATCTCTCCATCACGATCCCACCTAACAATAACTTCTGTATTTTTGTCCATCCTAAGAGGTAATTGACAAAAGATTGTTACAATCAAGTTATCAATAACTCTGTTCAATGATAAGTAGAGAGGACATAGTAATTTTATTTCATAAAACAGGAATGAAACCTAGAAACGGGTATTAAATAAAAAGTGGTTTTACTCTGTCCTAAATTGATATTTTGAAATATACAGTAACTATAAATGAAAATCAGAATATGAATTTAAGGTCTACTTTTAACAGAAAAAAAGCGAAGCATGCACCGAGTAGAAAAGCAGATTTGCAATTGTTTTATAAATACTGTTGCACCATTTATTCACTTAGAATGCAATTTGTGACATTGTGGCACTAAATTCCTGGTAGGAAATCAGAGTGGTATAACTCCTATTTAAAAATATGAATGGCTTTCCTGTGTTCAACCTTTTAGGTTGGGAGGATTGGTATATTGTTTAAAAAATTGTGACAGCATACTCCATGGTCTGTATGGTACTATTGTATTCCATTTCAATAAAAAATGTAGCGGACATCTATACAGTATTTATCAACCACTGAAGATGATATGATAGGGTTCCATATGTATTACTGGGTTTGTTGTCATTCATTGAATTGATATGTTCATATCTAAAGAAGATATAAAATCTGCAGGTTATCAGCAAATTTGTGATGAATGTTGTAAACCCAGTAAGTAACAATGAATGCACTTGCATGTACTTGTCTGTCAGATTGAAAGAAACTTTATTATATCAACTTTCAGAAAGACCACTCAATAAGGATCAATATTCAAAGTTAGTCAAGCGTATAATATCATTCATTATTATTTATGGTGCAATTATCGCATAAAGACACGCGTGATGTAGCAGCGGGTAATATAAGAGCATATTACCATACGTTTCACATCTGGGTACTTGTACATGATACATGTATAAGTGATACTTGAAATATAAGAAGAGGATAATTGATAATAATAACATTGACTGGCTCACATTTTGGTTGATATGAGACAATATTGCCCTCAACATAACCATATTGCCCTCGTCTTTGACCCGGCCAATATGATTATATTTGGGCAATATAGTTTCATATTCCCATTAAAGCCAGTCAAAATTATAAAAATATTTCATATATAAACAATATAAAATGTAACAAATTAGGTTAAAACTTACCTTTGATGACTGAGGGGACTTAGCTATTCAGTCGGTCGGTCTGTCAGTCGTTTGGTCTGACCTCCAAACCATGGTATTGGAAAAGCAATCAGTTCAAGGGCAGAGGGTGAAGATGCTGGGTTAAAAGGAGAATATATTTGATAACTCATGATGGATGCAGAAAACCCCCAACACAGCTCGTACAGGAAGTTATACTGGGATGATATGATTTTAAAAGCGCATCTCTTCAAAAAATTACAGGCATCAGGTTAATGCATATTATTTTATTTTTTCTGTGATGAAACAACACAAATTAGTGTAACTCTCCTTTTTCACCCCCTTCCCCCTATGAAAAAAAGACAATAAGAAAAATACAAAATATAAGATGAAGCCTGTCATCTTGTAAGTTGATACACCATAAGTAGCTCAAACATGACATGTTGGCAAAATGAATGTCTGTCACGCACATTAAAGAGCGAAGAACTTGTGTTTGATGCCTTACAATACCATCAACTGCCTAAAACCTTTCAAAGCAAGATCAGTCATGCGTTTATGAAAAAAAATTGAGTGTTTGGGAACCCGTCATCTTTGGAGGGCCCTCCTAGCACCCCCACCACTTTGCGCACATTAGAAATTTACTTCCCAGCATAGTTTTGTCCATGGATCATTGTTATGTAAATGAAAATAGTTCATTTGTTTGCTAAAGATTGACCCCTCCCCCTCGCCAGCCCAGCTCCCAATCTATAACTTTTCTTTTGGAGCTAATTTCCTTACCACACATACCTTGTCAATTTGCTAAAAGCTCTCCACATCAGCTGCACAAACTCCTACATGGACATCAACCACTGGGGGTGCTAGTGGTCCCTCATCTCTTGCGTATCCCAGCTGTCTATTTTACTGGTAAACTATGAAAAAATATGAAAAGTATTTGTTTAATTTTTCTGCATTTGTTCAAACAAGCCACTTCATCTCACGGTTGAATATCCCTTTAACTTATTAGCAAGCACATCATTATCTAAAGCAATTAAGAAGACCTTGCATAATTAAGTCTCAGTCTTGCAAACATGGGATGAAACAACCCAAATTAGTGCTAACTCCCCCCCCCCCCCTCACAACGTGACGGACATGTGCGCTATACCAGAAGCAACTACGGTAGTACTATTATTATAGGCAACCCCCCCCCCCCCCCCCCAACAAAACAAAAAGCCTGTCATCGTCTAAGTCCAAGGCAAAAGGTACACCTTAAGTAGCTCAACCACAACTTTGGTGGCAAAATGAAATTATCATGCACAATAAAGAGGGAGGAATTTGTAGTGGACGTCTTCCCATACCATCAGCTGTATCTTTGTCTTTAAAGCAAATTAATTAAGAGCAGGCATGCGTTTATGAGCATAAAGCCGAGTGTATAAGAAGCCGCTCCAGCCTATGCTAGGTTGACCCCCCCCCTCCATCCATTAGTACCTCAACAACATGCTTAAAGCTCTCCACGTCAAACTCCTACTTAGACATCAGCCACTGGGAGTGCTAGTGATGGTCCTCTCAGCCGGCTATTCTACTGGTAAAACCGGGAAGAAACATGAAATGTATTTGCTTCATTTTTCTGCATTTGCTGAAATTAAGCCACTTCATCTCAATTCTCATGGTTGGATTTCCCTTTAAATTATTAGCAAGCACAAAATTGTTTATTCATTCAAGCATACCTGGCTTTACTATTCAAGTCTCAGTCTCGTATTTATAACATGAACATGGAAAGAGCTTACGAGGGGGTCATGTAACATTTAAATCTAGTACTACGAGTACGTAAGTACTAACGTAGTAGATCTAGACTCTAGGCTCGCGCTCGAGCCTAGACTCAACTCCTACGTCGCAATTGCCATTTTATGATTTGGCATTGTCATATCAACATTGACATTGAATTTTAACCAAAATGTGCCCTTGGCTAATTGGGCCTTGCCTTGGAGGCTTGGGCTGGTACTGCTTAATCAGTTAACATAGTTAATGTAAAATTATTATTAATGATATCTCCCCTGCCCTGGCCGCGAATATTTTTTTTACACGCTAGTCTGGCCAGTTTCGCCGTAATACTAGTAAAAGTGCGCTGGAGGTAAAGCCTACATATAGGCATGCACTAGGCCTACCGCAGTTTAACTTGATTGCTCTCTAGCTGAACGTTCGGTCGTTCGTGTCTCAAGCTTAGATCAAGATTAATGTAAAGTTCCTAAATTAAATTAAAATAGATTAAGTTTTTGAATTCCATCGCCCAATGGCTGAGATGGCCGTCTCATTTAAAAGGGCCAGCTATGTCTTTATCTGATGATTGTCATGCACGATGTACATGTTTATCATCATGCTCCTCGCATGTAGGCTGCTAGACTAATATTAGTCGTTTCAATGGTGTTTATCATAGAAATGGCCAGGCTAGCGTGTAAAAAAAAATTGCGCGCCCTGGCATGGGCTTCACTCTTCAGCGAATTCGCCTTGTGACTTGTTATTGCATGTAACTGCTCCTGCACTTATACATGTTCAAGCTTATCTAAGATACTGTGTTACTTAATACTTAGTAGCACTCTGTTGATAGTACTACTAGATCTGCATACTAGTAGACCGACAATACAACTCACGCAGAAAACAGTGCGTGGGACTGTAATGACCTATCTCGCCATTTCGTAACTTGATATCCGTTTAGAATATGAGTTTGTTTATACTGCTACAGACGATATTATTGAACGATGCATAACATTGTTTTAAAATAAGTGAAAATAATTACCTAGGGCTGTCAGATTCCTCTAACAATTCCGCCAGAAGCACCGGCATCTGTGACAAAGGCTTCGCGGAGCCGGTTCCTGTACAATTATCAATAGCAGACTACATTTGCGCGTAAGAGGCCACTTCGTGAAAACGGTGTTTGCCAGTTGTACCGCTTGTGATACGTTTCGTGACGTCACGTATGACGTAATTAAGCAAGATTAGACTTTGAAAATTACTGAAGTTGTAGACATTTATATACATTGCTCAAAAACGATCAAAACTCGAAATTAAAAATTTCAACGATTTTGGCCACTGAGGCCACTTCGTGAAAACGGTGACGATATGTATAGGAATGGTCGGTCAAGTTGAGAGATGGTTTTGTATGCCTTATATGGACAAATAAACAATAAACAAGTGTACTGTTTCAAATCTAGAAGAGAAAATGAAGGAGTAGTCAAGTTGATCGGGAGGAAATGTTGAAGATGATTGCGGAAGGAAAGGTTCAGGAAGGGAAATGAAAGGTTTAATGCAACAGGATTGAAGTTACAAACATGTAGATTGTATAAATGTTTCCCTTTTCAAGTTGTGTTGATACACTACACTGTAATAACAGGAAATAATACTATGTGCTAAGCTACTATGTGCTTTCCATAGAATGCAGGACTGTATAGCCTGCAGGTCAGATGAAAAAAATACTTGAAATGTTGCACAATGCATGGTGGTGAATGATGGAATTGCTTTTTGGCTGAAGAATTTAATGAAGCAGCTATCACATGAGATACAACAGTAGCCTTGCCAAGAGAAACAGGATGTACACTGTATGTAAGATACACATGCAATTTGTTTGCTTGTCTGAGAGAGGGAGAGAGAGACAGAGAGAGAGAGAGAGAGAGAGAGAGAGAGAGAGAGAGATAGAGAGAGAGAGAGAGAGAGAGAGAGAAAGAGAGATGCTTGGCAAATACTGTAAAGTAGAATGAACTTACACATAGTTTACCCTGGGTGCCCAAAATCTAGTTCTGTACCCCTAAAATCTCTAAAACTTTTATAGGGCTCATGTACAAGACATTTTAAAACTCAAATCCGGATCCCCTTTCCAAAAAGTTAGTGTGAAGCCCTGATTTACTATGACATGAACTTTAATTTCTTATAATACATTTGCAGGTGTTGGTACTGTAAGAGAGATGTTTTTACTTTGGAATTATATATATAATCTGCACATTTGTGTATTACCAATAGTTGATTTCATTGATTTCTTAGAAATATAAATTTTTTGTACTAGTATTATGAGGGAGTTATTCTTGCCTGGTATTAAAGCTGTAGCCTACATGTATAATTGTGATGCCTTACAATGAGGTTTTTGCCTGCCTGCAAATGTGGTCAGTGTACAATATGTTCACAAGGTTCTAAGTAGCTAAATAGTTGATTGAACCCACATGTACATGATCAACTATAAAATCCAGATCAATCTACATAATTGAAAAATAAGCGTCTCCCTCTCAGCAACTCCGTGGATAGAGTTATCTGTTAACACTGTATAAAAGTAGGTGACTGCCTGACAGACAATTAATTACTTTCTAGCACACAATGGCAAATATATCATTGTAGTGAGCAAATTAAAATCCACTACTGACTGTGCATGTACATGGATGTTGTCATTGTTATGTGTATCAGATGAGGATGGAATGTGTAAAATAAGTAGCCAGCATAGTTTTTCTTAACTGAAAACAAATATTTTCATGCATTTTGTCCATTTACATTGGTACATTTTAAAGGATGATATGCTGCGGTTACTATTTGTCTAACTCTAAAAGTATCCTTTTAAGTCTAATGTGGGTCGGGAATACTACATGTAGCTAGATTTCTTCAATATTTACTGGGACATTATACATGTACTCCTGAAGCTATTATAAATGTTCTCTCTAAGTCTTTAGTGCACATCATCTATTTTTAGTCATGAATGTTCTGAGTAAGTGTTACGTTCTGTGGAATTAATTTTTGTCATTGCTGACCTTGAATGTCTTTTAATGTTAGCAGCTAATGGAAGATGAGATGTCAGCTGCTTACTGTAGCTGACTAGACTTAATCAAGGCAGTGATGAGTTTCATAAGAGAGTCACTACCTGTGACTCATTCACTGCACAATAGCAGCTCATAAAATGGGGGATGGCCTTTGCCCCGTTCTTGTAATGTTAGTGTCCTGCAACCGATTGATCAATACAGGTGTCTGTGGTACTCACCTGTGCCGCACCACCATGGTGCATGAAAAGCCACAGACTTTATTTTAGGCTGACTTAATGGAGCATATAATTACAAGTTTGCTGAAAGGATCATCAGCAATGAGATTGCTCATGCATGAGAGATTCAGTATTGAAGATGTGTACATGGTTCATTGATATTCAAGAACTGTCTGAAGGTCTAACTGTCATGATGAATACAGGAGGTGTGGCATTAACTTCTCATTCACTAATACTAATGATCTGGGAGGTTGTTGCAACTTTTTAGTCTGTATTCCAATTTCAGGAATAAAAGGCTTTACATTTATCTTATTTTATGGCTGAGTATATCTATTGGACATTGGTTAAATGTCACAGAATCAAATCCGTTATTTGGGATGCCAATATTTTAATTGTTTTTGCATTAGCTTCTTTAGGCTTAGCCACACATATTGAAACAGAGGGTTTAGAAGGTCTATGGGCCTACCAGAATTGTTTGTAAATCGTCTAATTTCAAGACATCTATTTATAGACCATGAACCCCCATTACCACCACATAGCCTGCTTTAAAGCAGTGTAGAGATATGGAAGTTGTCGTACAAGTTAAAATCGGATAATCTGATCAATAAATATTCTATTTTGATGTAGTGTAGATAGATCTTGTCATCTTTGTTTACTACCACTGTTCGCTGTCATCCCTGCAGGCTTGCTTCTCAGCTATGAGTTTGTACTGAGAAGGGTTAGTCTCCTCCCTCAGACCATTTAAAATTAGATAGTATAATCAGTGTGATCAATAAATATGCTATTTTCATGGAGATATCTCTTCATCTTTGTGTACCGGGTAGTACTATTACTACTACTATACTACTTCTACTACTACTACTACTCACTGCCATAGATGCAGGCTTAACACTCAACCATGAGTTTGTTGTACACTTGTACTGAGAAGTTTTAAGTCTCTTTTCTTAGACCCCCCCCCCCCATTCAATTTTTTAAAATTGTAAATCAACCTGTGGTTTGATAGATGGGTTGCCTGCTTGGTTGAGCCCGGAGTCCACTATATTTAAAATAAAGATGAGTCCAAGACTATTTTGGTTTTTATTCACCCACAGTGTCTTAATGATAACATTATGCTTGCCAGTTATTATTACTCATAACAACTAATATGCGGTCTAATTGCCTTTTGATTCTTATTATTATGATTGTGTACACTTAGTGTGACTGTTATGCACATGAATGTTCTGATGGTTTCGGTTCAAGTGCTGATGCACATTAGAAGTACTCCCTAATTAGAATAATGAATTGCTTTATTTGTTTATGCCATAAAGTCATCACAAAAAAATGCTATCATGTAAAATCAATATGAACAGAACTAAAACATGCTTAAGTAAAATTTATAGCTTTCAGTATTAAACTTTTAAAGCACCTTCCATGAAGGCTTGCAGATCTTACGAATGCAAAGTGAGAGAATTTCTTTTTTCAGAATTATCTAGGATTTATCCCCAATCTTATTTTATTGCATATATATCTCTTTTGTGCAATAATTATCTAAGAGATCAGAGTCTGTGTAAAGTGTGTATGGTAGACTACTGTCATAGAGCGTCTGGTCCAGGGGATCGTGACAAATTAATTTTCGTCACGAAAAGATCTCCCTGTCGGTATGCCTGGGATGATCCTCCGTCAGGTTACCGTGGCGATGATGGAATACAGTCCGTGAGAACAAGAGGTTAGAACATGCTCCTCTATTACCCAAGATGTTACCCTATCTCTTCCTCTCAAACCTTCAGGATTTCTCTTATTGTTTAAAGGGATGCATCTGCAGTCCCAACATTAATTATAAGAAATTGTGTGTTCCCGATGATGGATAAATGAACTTCGTTCAGGTCTGTGTCCTTTGATATTTAAAGGATGGAATTTCTTTTGTGCTAGGCTTGATTTTTATAGTATCATTATCTAAGTTTATGAGATTATTTGGTATGCCTGATAAATAAAGATTAATTTCATAGATGGATTGAACATAAGATTATTATGTTTAAACAGGTACATCAAGTGAACCCCCCCCCCCTCCTTTCTGGCTTTGGTACGTACATGTAGATAAGACGAGGTGTAATATTCTGTTAAATCTAGTGAAAATTGCCATATTTTGCTGATGTTTTTCTGCTATTCTGTTTTTCTAGGTTTGAGGATACCTTTAAAGAAAATTCAGAAAACCTTCCGAGTCTGGACAGGTGTGGGTTTACAGGATAATCACATTATACCATGGTAACTGATCTGACATTATCTCTTAGATCTATCCCTTCAAATGGGATCACTTTGGTCACTAAAAGCTTTCAATTTTCTGTTTCATGGTAAATTGCATGTTACTTTTAGGCTTACACTTGCAGAGCACTGCGATGTAGTGGTTGGGTTCAAATTCCTGTGTGTGTGGTGTGTATTAAAAATGGTGTTAGGGAGATAGAGCCTGAGAGTCAATAGAATACATGTAGGAGAAATTTTCATCTAAGGATAGTTCACATCTTACTATTTCATGCCTGACCAGAAGTTTTGCTTGAAAATCACACAGAAGTTGGGACAGTGCAGGAGATAAAGAATCTTTGAAAGTTTACATCAAAAGTTTGATACTAGGGAACGGTTATAATGGATTTACTGCTATCAAAACAACAGCCATATCATGTTATTGTTTAGATTGTAAGTTCCTAGTTGAGCCATTAAGTGATCCTGAACTCACAACGTTTATTTTCAATGTCAAAAGTTCTCCTCCGGGAGTGTGAGAAAAAGAAAGAAAAGGTACCCACCCATACCAGTGTAGTAGACAGAAAATATATTGCTTGTAAAGACCACAGATGGAGAGAAAAGAACATGCCAAATTGTAAAAACAAGACAATTTTGTGACATTAAAGTGTCAAGGATTGACAAAGACCATTATTTATTTTGGCAAGAAACTTTTGAGATTCCATAACCATTCACAAAACTTGTGAATTTAAGCTTCATGCATGTACAACTACCTTTTATTGCAGGGTACCAGTTAGAAGAAGATTTCGGAACAATTATGCAACGTTTGATCTCTTGTGC